TCCAAAAGCCAATGAAAGGCATTCATGTTCCTATTTCTCAGTATTGTAACTAAATCAGTCAAGAGCAACTCTAAAATTTGATTTTTAAAAAGATTTTATTTACTTATGTGAAAGAGAGAGAGAGCATGAGCAGGGGAAGGGGTAGAGGGAGACAGAAAAGAAGACTGCCGGCTGAGCAGGGAGCCCAAGCAGGGCTCAATCCCAGGACCCTGGGATCATGACCCAAGGCTAAGGCAGAAGCTCAACTGACTGAGCCACCCAGGTGACCATGAAATTTCATTTCTAAAAGAATACAAAATTCCTGGATATGGACACCAAAACAAAGAACACATCTCATTTTACAAAAACTGGAGTTCCAAGTATTTTAGGAGACAAGACGCTCACAATGCAATTCCTACTAATTCACACCAAGCTTGAATTTTGTGCAAACACAACTCTCTAGAAAGTACCCCTGAAATCTATAACATTTTCATCCTCAACCCTCACAGCTGAGGTCACAAACATGTGTGCTGGTGGGAAACATACACGGTCTTGGAACAGCCGCTGTCTGAAAGAGAACATTAGCTATCTGCTCAATGGTTGATCATGGGGATCAAATGCACAAAAGACAGAGGCCATCTTGTCACAAATGGAAAACACCCCCAGTTGTGGCCACGTGGTACATCTAGCAGCTGTCTGGATGCTGACCAGTAGCTGACTCTTAACTAGATGACATCCAATGGGGCCAATAACACTAGGTTCTAACAGACAATGGCCATGAGCAGGTGGAGGAGGGAAATGCGAGACCAGGTAGTTTATGCAAGAGCTCAGAGATGAGGGAGGGTGAGAAAGGCGAAGTGCTCTATGAGATGCAGCCTAGGCAGAGGGGAATATTTCCAATAAAGACTACGAAGAAATTCCCTCCATTGAAGACTCAAAAGAAACAGAATCGAGTCTATTTTGACTGGAGGTATTCATGTGGGATGATTCTGCCTCAACACTAGGGTCCTTCCTGACTACTCCCACTTTGCAAATCCCTCTCTAAGAATCTGGTGTAGGCCGATCTAAAGAAGTCTGCTTATTTCTAGAGTGTTCCCTGTCTGTCTCTCTCTCCTGAGGGTAAGGGTTTTCTTTTTTAAGGAGTGAAATAGTCACACTAGGAACCAGGTATTTCTTTATATTTGGACAATCCTAAGGACATTCAGGAGCTTTTGACTTTGGGGAAATCAACACTCTGTACACACTGGGCCAAAGAAAGGGTAACAACTCATTCACTTCCTGATTACATCAATCCATCAGATTTTCCTGTGACAAACGTCCCAGCGAGATGCGGTCACTTAGTGTCTGCTGGGCTTCTCAGGGCTCCCACGGACCTGGTGGGACACAGAGTCCCTGGGGACAGCCTCCAAGGCCAGGAGGAAAGGGCTGACTCCGAAGTTGTTACAAGTCAACCAACCAGGAAGCACAGAGCACAAAGGACATTTCACTGTTTAACACTCAAGACCCAACACCAATGCTTAAGATACCACTGTTCCCAGGGCTGCCAAACTTCACAAATATGAACAATGTGCTGACATGAAATCAATGTAGAAGATGGACCCTAAACATACAAGGCTTGAAGCAGGATCTTCACTGGGCTTCCAGGAGCCAGTCTAATGCCCGTAGCTCCTATAAATTAGCATTCCCGACATTTTAAAAGACAATTTTAATGAGATATAATGTACATATCATACAAGCCCCCTATTTAAGACAAAGAGCTCAATGGCTTTTCATATCTTCTCAAATCCTTCCTTCTTGCCACCATTACCCTAGTATTTGCAGGTTTCCATCCTGCCAGAGCTGCTCTTTTTGGACCAAGCAGCACAGACAGGACCCAGAACTTGATGTGGACGGCTGTGGCCACAGCCCCTTCAGGCTGACCGAGAAACCTGCCCTGTGGTCCTCGGTCTTCAGGAAGAACTGCAGTTCTTCTGAAGTTCTCACCAACAACCCCATGAAAAAACTATTATTTGACCACCATGTGAAAGAACCCAGTAGGAATGAAGACACCACTAGCAGCTTTGAGTCACCGGGGGGCTCAGGCCGTTCAGTGATGACGTCTTGGTTTGGATCAAGTCATGGTCTCATGGTCCTGAGGATGAGCCCCTCTTCAGGCTCTGGACTCACTGCACAGCTGGCTTGGGATTCTCTCTCTCCCTCCCCCTCTGCCCTTCCCCCCACACCTGTGAAGATGCCAGTGAAGTGCCATGTTTACTCACATTTGGGTTTGGGGAACCGGGACACCGCAGCAAGAGCACCAGGAACAACAGCCTCTGCACCTTCATGTCTTGGTCCTTTCAAGGGGTGCTGGGGCGTCAGGGAGGAGGTGGAGATGGGGGGTGGAGTGGAGGTAGGGGTGGGTGGGGTAGGGAGGGGTGGGAAGGGGTGGGAAGGGGATAGGGTTTTAATGAGGGTTGGGAGCAGGGTAGAAATAAAGGGTGGGATTGGGGAAGGCGTTTGTCAGGAGAAGAAGGGGTCAGCGACGGTGTCAGGGTCAGAGTAAGTACTCGAGGGGAGGTTCAGAAAGGGTAGTAGGTCAGCAGGTTAGTAAATCACTAGGTCAGCAGGAAACAGTAGCAGGTGAAGGGATTGGAGGAGGATACACTTTTCTCCAAGCCTTCCCCTGGTTGAACCATTCCTTAGCAACCCAGAGGCTTTATACTCTCTCTCAGCCAATCATCTGCCTTTGCCCCTGGTAGGTCATAATGGGCACCCCGCGTGACCTCATATTTAAAGAGCCCCTTCCCAACTGGCGCCCCACCACGTGCCATCCCAATAACAGGTCCTCTCTGGAACTTTGGCCATCCTTCTTGTTTCTGCTGCCTCCCAACCCAGGTCCCTGTTGCCCTCTTCTGGGCGCTATCTCCTTCCTTCCAGAACTCCCATCCTAGAGCCATTGGCTGAACAACATATAAAGCAAAGGAGGACAGAACTGCAACAACAAGCAAATACACAAGCAGAGTGGGAGGTTTCAACCCTCTCTCAGTGACTCAAAGCAGACAGAACATCCATAACATGTAGACCTTGAGAGCAAACCATCTGAATCCCACAGCTATCTCCGTATGTCTGTCCACATCCATAGACCACTGTGGAGGACACATTAACTTTAGGCATATAGGATACACTTACAAAAATGCACCCGATCTATTTTGGTCATAAGGGACATTTCAATATGTTTCAGAGGCATGAAATCACACAGAGCATGTTGTGGTAATATAATGTGCTAGAAATCATGGATAAAAAGCTCACTAGAAATTCCCATATGTTTAGAAATTGAGAAGTACCTCTACAAATAAAATAGGAGTAAAGAAATCCCAAAGAAAAAGCTACATTGGAACCGAATGAAATAAGCATGACAAAATTGTAATCAGATATGTCTTCTGGGCTGGTATATCCTGGGATATTAGTATGAGAAGACCGAATGGCCTCAAAATCATCCCTAATTGACGGAGACATTTGAACACCTCCAACAGCGGTAGATCTGTCGCTTATCTATGTGACCCTGCTACCCACTAGCTTGGGCTTTACGATATGAACCTCACAGGGGAAACAATCCAAGCTGACTCTCATGGGATCTCTTGGGACCTCCAGGAATGAGAGCATTTTAAGAGAAAACATTCACCAGCTTCTCTCCTGGGGGATCCAAGACAACACCCAGAGAGCTGGCAGCCCCAGGTGTGCTGGACGGGGAGAGCCAAGCAGGTGGGCAGGGCCAGGGACCCAGGTGACTGGACAAACCCCCTGTGATCATCTCTCTTGGGCCCTGTCCTGAGCCGAACCTCCTAAACTGTTTCTCTCTAGGACTAACACAATTAGTGTTATCTAATTGTGAGTTAATCCCAACTCATTCAGGCCCAAGGCAGCTGAAAATCAATGCTCTACAAACCACCACTTACTGTGTAAATTTCTTGTAAACAGGAACCATTTCAGCACTGCTAAAATAGGAACGCAGTATCTTTAACATAAATATAAATATATTTATATAATTAGCCATAAAATATAAAGAAGCCATAAAAGACACGCAAACAAAAACAAAACAAGGATAGCAAAACATTTGTATTAAATTCTGTTTAGAAGCTGCTGCCGCCTCCAGAGCCCCAGAGTCGGGTGGTCCTGGTTATAGAAGGAGAGACCAGCTACAGAAGGGGTGGAGTCAGACTATATATATATAGGCCCAGCCTATAAGGGGGACTAGGGAATTCCAGGAAGGATGGCCGGGGTCACCCTGATTATAACTGGAACAGGGAGCAGGGAAGAAGAAGCAGTGAACAGAGTTTGGGGGCCTCGAACAGGTGAGATCACTCGTGGAGGTGAGGAAGTGTCCCCAAAGCCAGTGTCAGCCTCCTGTCTACGAAGCCCTTCGTGGCCCCTGGAAACAGGGCCGGGAGCCTAGAGTGTGAGATCCAGCTGTGCTGCTTACCAGCTCTGTGACCCTGGGCTGCTTTCCTTCAGTGAGCTGGGGCGTCCAAGCCTGTGTCCATAACTGTGCTGAGGACAAGAGGAAGCCCCGTGCTGAGCACCTGTGGACATTAGCATCATCATCTCCATGGGGCAAGTGCCTTCCCAGATCCGGTGCCTCACGTCTCACAGCTGTTCAAAGCAACACTGGTGACAACCAGAGGTCCCTCCTGTTTCAGGCCTGTGCTAAGCCCTGCCCTTTGCACACATCATCTCTCGGGCTACAGATGGCAGGAGGACCTCATAAAGTGTGGGGAGAGCTCCGGGCCCCTGGGGAGGCTGAGGGATTCCTGGGCCCTGGGGAAGGGTGAGTGATTGGGGGGCCCTACGGAGGGCTGGGGAACGGAGCTCCTGGGCTCCATGGAAGGAATGGGGGATTGGGCACCCCGGAAAGGGCTGGAGGAGTCTTGCAGGTTTCCTGGGTCCCCACAGGGCAGATCCCTCCCACACCTAAGCTGGTGCAGGCTGGGACCTGGAAGCAGCACCATACAGAGGCAGCGGGTCCATGGCATGCTGGATGGAGCGGTGAGGAATGGTCTGGCAGGCAGGTGGAACCACCAGGCTGGGCTGCCCTCGGTGCCTTCCCCCTTCCCCAGCCACCTCACTAGCTTGGCCCTGACCTCACCCTCCAGCAGGGCACGGGCAAGCCAGGCAGAGGTGGACACCTGGGGCCAAGGAAGGGTCCCTCCCCAGACCTCTGTGTTGTGGTTGTTGAACAGACAAAAGGAGTCACCCAGGGCCCCTGGAACCAGGGGGGAGAATCTGGCCCCAGAGTCCTCTCCAATGGGGCTTGGGGAGAATCATGGAGGGACCGCATTTAGCTCTGGTTCATTCACAGAATCAAAGCACAACACAAGTCCCCTTGGATGCTCATGTCCCTTTATTACCCCAGCTACATCCTGGGCGCTCACTCAGGGACTTGGAAGCAGGAGAGTAATGGATAGTAATTTAAAAGAACAAAAATGCTGCAATGTGAGCACTCCTTATGCTCTTAAAATCAATGTCCAACACTCCCCTCCTCACCCTCCCCATAGTGAGGAAACTGAGGCAGCCAGGGATTTGGCAAAGAAGACACAGTGGTTTCTGAGGGTTTTGCTGATTACATCTGACCAAACTCCTTTTTCCGAAGGTCACTTCTTTTAATCTCGCCAGTGACGGTTTCGGGCAGCTCTGAGACAAATTCCATCTGGTCAAGGATAAAGCAAACCCATCCCAACTTAGTCCTGCTGTCATTTCTTACCAATGCCCCAGGCTCCTCCTCTGCCCCTGCACAGTCCCCCAGACGGGCTGGCACCATGTGGTGGCCCCAGTAGGCTCCACCAAGGCATGTCAGGGTGTCCCCTGACCCGGGAAGTTGGATGCAGCCCTGTGATGTGCTCTGACCAGTGAGATGTGAGTGGGAGTGAGGCGTGCCACCTCGAACAGAACACTTGAGACCACTGGGTCTGGCATCCACTCTGTCCATCTCTTCTAGCACCCGGCAGTTACCTATGGTGGGTGCTCCTTTATCCTGGTCCCAGGAAGACCATGCGGACATGTGGCCGGAGCAAGAAAGATACTTCCCTAGTAGGAGCCACTAAGACAGGGGCTACTAGTTCCTCACAGGAACATCAGCCCATCCTAACTGGCCTGCATCCTCCAGTCTACTCTCTAGGAGGCGGCAGAGCCTTACATGTGAAGGACGAACTCCGTTTTCAGATACACTGGGTTTGAGTTCAGCTCTGCCCTTTTCTTCACTCCAACCTCAGGCAATTTACTGTGAGTCTCTGAGCCTCTCCCGTTTCCATTCTGTCAAATGGATGGTTATACCATCTCAGGTTTGGGGGGATTAAATGAAATAACACATGTAGAGCTTTGAGTCCAGCGCCCGGCACACATGTTCAATAAATATTAGCTATCTAGCTTTGGGTAAACACTCAGAAAGCACAGCAATGTATTATTACAAAAGAAAGACACGTTAAATTTTTGACCCATGTATCCTTGCAAACGTGGTTTTTCAACAAGTCAGATAACATGTATATTTATTCACAGCCTGCTTTTGTCTCTTAATAATATATTTTTGTGATGTTTTTTATGTTACAAATAAGAGATCTGCATCATCTTTTTAAATTATAGGACAGCATTAATTACCACGAATAATTTAATCATTTCTCTATTGTTGGACATTTTCATAGTTCTCACATGGCACTGAAAACGAGGTAGAAAAAAAATCTCTCAGAATGTATTTTATGCTACAATAAATATTATTTTGTTACCTTTTGTTTGTTATGTATCTATATATGTATTGGGCTTCAATTTAGAATATATTTCTTACTACAAATAATGTTTTTTAAAAGTGTGGCAGTTGTTGACTTGAATGTCTTTTTTTTTTCTTTTTTTAAAGATTTTCTTTTTATTTATTTGACAGAGAGAGACACAACGAGAGAGGGAACACAAGCAGGGGGAGTGGGAGAGGGAGAAGCAGGCTTCCCGCCGAGCAGGGAGCCCGATGAGAGGCTCGATCCCAGGACCCTGAGATCGTGACCCGAGCCGAAGGCAGACGCTTAACGACTGAGCCACCCAGGTGCCCCGAATGTCTTTTTCAAATTGTGAAAGATTTCAAATATCCTTCTTGGATATTTCTAGGCTCTTGGCTGATTTTTTTCTGTAGGTTTTTTGTCAGCCTTTTTGTTTTCTGACACAGGATAGAGGTTTCCATGATTAAGATGGATCTCCCCTAAACCCCTAAGTTGAATGCTTCTTCAGTAGAGAAAAATGCTCATTCCATGGGCTACGTAAGCTCCACCCCAGCCACCCCAGGAGATTTGGGGCAGCAGAGCCCAGGGCCCACTGGACGGGACCAGGCCCCATCCCTCTGCCCTCACTCACCTTCCTGGGGTACTTACACGGGGCTGGCACTGACTTCACATGCTGCTGTAGCTCCTTGGTGAGCTGGTCCCGGTCATGGGAGAGGAATTCCGGAGTCAGGACAATAAATGCCTTCACCACCTGCAGCGCAGAACCAGAGTGGAGGCTCAGGGGGAGTGGCAACCAAGTGTATAGTCTAAAAAGTAAATGTGTATTAAGTAAATGGAAAAACAAGTTGACAGTTGAGCCTCTGGAAAAGAACAGGACCAGTGTCCATACTTCCAATTTCTACTCTCTGCCTTGGAAAATTACTTCACCTCTCTCAGCCTCCATGTCCTTCTCTGATGTGGGGACAGCACGGCTTCATTCCTCAGGGCATGGCTCTCAAGATTCATCGAGATCATTCATATAAACCATGAAGCTCGTTTAAACTGATTTTTATTCCTATCATTATCATCACCATTTTCCCTATTATTATAGGTAGAGTTCTGTGGGCATTAAATCAATGGTGGTGATTAACTACGTTCCTATTATTCATGTCGCGTCTACAGGGCACAGGGCCTTGTCCAGAGTAGGTGCTCAGCACACAGTGAATCAATGAATGCTTGCTCTGGAGCCAGACTGCTCACATTCCCATTCTGGCTCCACCACTTGACAGCTTTGTGATCAGGCAACTTATTTAATCTCCTTATGCTTGTTTCTTTCCCTGTAAAAAAGGGTCTCAGAGTCCTTAATTAATGAGGTTGCTGTGAGGGGGAAATGAGCCGGCAGGTAGGAAGGGCTCAGAAATTAGGAGACGGGCAGCAGTAGCCCCAGCTGCAAGCCACATTCACAAGCATCATTTTCTGTCCCACATGGTTGAGGCCACACTGCTCTCTGGTGGCCACACAGTGTAAATGCACATGCACACCCCGGGGCCCCCCTCCACCCGAGGTCCAAGGTTGGAGAGACAGGACCAGGAGGAAGGTTTCCCGGCACCTGCCTTGGTGCCCACACACAGACACGATGACCTCTGTGTCCTCCTCACCTCCCTTCGAATTGGGTCCAGGCTGCTCACCAGAGCTGATTCAGCCACAGCCGGGTGTTCGGCCAGGGCATTCTCCACCTCTGCGGGCCCGACGCGGTACCTGCGGGCTCCTTCTTGGCTTCTGAGTGGCTGCCAGGGCCGGGTGACCCAAGCCCTCAAGTCTCATGTTTTGGAGGGTCACCTCGTCCCTTGTCACATAGGATAACTGTCACAGGAAGCCAGATACCTGTGCCCTGGCTCTCTCATGGGCCCCAAACATGAAGAATGGGCACTCCGTGCTGAGAAATACAACACTCACATGCTCCCCAGAGTTTCTCACCTCACTGCCTCTGCTCAGGGAGGAGGGTGAATATTTAGTTCTCCCCGAGCTCTGGGGCTGGGCTCAAGCAGCTTCCCTTGGCATGAAACCTACTAGAAGCCTCAGCCTTTATCTTAAACATTCATGCAAATTCTGCATACTCTTCCCCATCATATTAGCATGTTTTAGAAATTTAAAAGGTAAACACACTCAACTTCCCTGAAATAGCCAAGAGAACTTGTTACTCTGGTATAATGTGTCATTTTTTTTTTTCTTTCCAAATCACGTGAAGATTTAGGGACAACTGACTTGGAGCCAGACAGCTTTGGTAAATCTGGGTTGTACCCAGCACTCTGAAACTTTAGGGAACTTTATTCACTAGTCAGTAACCCAGTTCCTTCATCTGTAAAATGGGCATAACTGCATCTACCTTCTAGCACTGAGAGCTGGGTTATATAAAGCACTGCAGAGTGTGCATCCCCATAGTAAGTGCCCCATAAAGGTTTATGTTGTTGTTATCTATTATTAAAATTTTCAGTGATTGTTGTGTCCCATTAGAGGAGCCAAACATAGAGGAAGCTTCCTCAACAATAAGGGCCTATGTAACGTCTTCCTTCCAAATCCCTTAAATTGCATAATGTCTCATTATGGTTCGCCTTGCAGACCTTCTTGAACTACATTTTGATAGACTTTTCTGGATGCAGGGCTTGGGGGAGGTGCACAGGTATCCCCAGAAAGGGGGCCCATAGACAGAGCTCTGTTCAGAGTCAGCCTGAGCTAACCATCACCAAGCTTGGATGAATGTCAGAACAAGCTAGATCCCATGAGGCATGTGAGGGTGATGCCTCCCGGCTCAGGTCAGCCATACCTACCCAGAGGCATTGATGATGTCATCGTTCCTCCCCAGGAACCAGATGTAGCCCTCTTCATCCATAGTTGCTCTATCTCCAGAGTTGTAAAAGTCCCCACACTCCACTTTGGCTGTCTTTACTGGGTTGTCCTGCAAAGACAACAATACCCCTTTGTTGAAGGCAACGAGTTTAGAGATGATGAGCCACAACCTGGTGCTCAGATCTGGGTCTGGATCCCGCTCCTGGCTCTACTTGGCACCTGGGCAAGTTTTGTAATCTCTCTGAGTCTATTTTCATTATATCCAAGTACTCAATGAACACTACTTGTCAATTAGTGAACAATATTGAGCCAATTTTAAGGATAAGTTTTTAAAGTAACAACTCACTTTTGTGTGGCGCTCTAGTATAATAAAATTTCCACTAGAACATGGACCCTGTGTATTTTATTTATTGTTCTCAGCTTAGCATTCACATAGTGCCTGGATAAATGAGAGGTTCAATACACTTTTGTTAAATGAATTTCCTTCCCAAAATACTACCTCATCTGATCCTCCCAGAAAACCTACAAGGCTTTTATTTTTCTAATTAAACTGTTTATTTTAAGATCATTGTATATTTGCAGGGTACCTGGGTGGCTCATTCAGTTGGGCGGATAACTCTTGATTTCTGCTCAGGTCATAATCTCAGGGTTGTGAGATCGAGCCCTGTGTAGGGCTCTGCACTCAGCATGGAGCCTGCTTGAGATTCTCTGTCTCCCTCCGCCCCTTCCCTAACTAATGCACACATGCATGCATACATGTTCTCTCTCTCTCTCTCAAATAAATAAATAAATCTTTTTTAAAAAGATAATTATATATTTGCATGCAGTTATAAGAAATAACACAGAGAGATCCTGTGTGCCACTTACTCAGTTTTCTCCAATGGTAGCATCTTGCAAAACTACAGTTCAATATCACAACCAGGATACTGACATTGCTACAGTCCACCAATCTCACTTAGATCTCCCAGCAGTTTACTTTTACTTTTTTGTGTGTGTCTACGTGTATTTTATCAAATGTGCATCCACCACCAGAGTCAAGTTACAGAAGACTCCCGTCATCCTGAGGATCTCCTGTGTTGCTCTTTTATATCTACACCCATCTCCCTCATCTTTTCCCTCCCTCCAAATCCCTAAGCCCTCGGCAGGGACTGATCTATTCCCTAGTTTTATAATTTTGTCACTTTAAGAGTGTTACATAAATGGAATCCTAGAGTATGTAACCTTTTGGGACTAGCTCTGTTTTTATTTTTTTCACTCAGTATAATTTTCTGGAAATTCGTCCAGCTTCTTATGTTCATCAATACTTTGTTCTCTTTACTGCTAAATGGTACTTCATGTTATGGATGAACCCCAGTTTGGGTGTCAACCCATTGAAGGGCATCTGGGTTGTTTCCAGTTTGGGGCTATTGTGAATAAAGCTGCTCTCAACATTCATGTGCAGGTTTTATGTGAGGCTAGATTTTTATAGGCCATAACAGAAGAAATGAATGCTCAGAGAAGCACAATAACTCACTCAAAGTCACCCAGCTGGTCAGTGGTAGGGTTGGTATTTGAATTTAATTCTTGCTCCACAGCCTTTGTACTCAACCACCAAGTGTTTGCACTCAAACACTCAATGTGTTGAGATCATCCCTCTCATGAAACATGAAATGATTTGAAAAAGGTCCAGGAAAAAAAAATTAAAAAAAAAAAATTGAATGACATCCCATTTTATGTTCCCTTCCAATTGTTCTGATTGTATTAAGGAGACTCTCTGACATGTTTTTAAAAGCTCTGGAACTACCAAGAGTAAGTTTCAGGACTGGAGCTTTTAGTGGGAACAGGGTTTAGCTAGAATTCAAGAAAAATTGTTTTGTTTGCATTATAGTTATAGTTATAATTGCCTTCTGTTTTTGGCAAATCATACTGTTTTCCATTTGTGATACTGATTAACTTTTTAAAAAACATATGTTTTATTTTTTTTAAAAGATTTTATTTATTTATTTGACAGAGAGAGACACAGCGAGAGAGGGAACACAAGCAAGGGGAGTGGGAGAGGGAGAAGCAGGCTTCCCGTGGAGCAGGGAGCCCGATGCGGTGCTCGATCCCAGGACCCTGGGATCATGACCTGAACCGCAGGCAGATGCTTAACGACTGAGCCACTCAGGTGCCCCCAAAAACAGATGTTTTAAAGTAAAATAATGATTATTGTGTGCATCTGTTCTAACCTATCTGGGGGGCTGCCTGAAGGACAGGTGCAAGGAACTCACTTTATGTAACTCAGAAAAAAGCAGCAGGCCCGGCTCATAGAAGCTACCAGGCAAACTACAAAAGTGAAGTTGCCTGACGTAAGAGATTATGGGTGGAGATATACAATAGACCATCAAGGTCTGGGGGAGATGCTGGAGTGAGTTTTGGGGGTTTTTTTGTTTTTTGTTTTTGAAATTAGGATGTTCAAGACAGCTATATGCATGGGGGAATTAAGACAGCCGTGAACATGCCTGGGCAAGATGCATGCTCAGCAAAGTCCTGAGAAAACCTTAAGCTTTCATCTCAGGCTGATCCCTAGGCTCAGAGCAAGTCCAGCTAAGTGGTGAAGGAGTATCCCAGCACAGAGCCAATCTGCACAGTGGTTGTTCTCTCTTCTTTTTTGGTTGGTGATGTTTTTCTTTGTTCATTTGAGCTCCTGCCCCTCAAGGAAATCTCTGTCAAAACATTAACTGAACACAAGCTAAAGGATCAGAAACCTCAGTAATCACACATGACAAACAATAGTCTTTAAAGAATTTGCAAAAGTACCACAACAAAGGACTACTATAGCCTTCAACAGTCCAAAATCAAAAAACAAAACAATGAAACCCCAGCAACCTCAACCCCCAGGGAAGTGGGAGAATCTGATTTCTAGAGTTCACTCATATGTGGAATTTAAGAAACAAAACAAATGAACATTGGGGAAAAAAGAGGGGAAGGCTAAGAAACTGACTCTTAACTGTAGAGAACAAAGTGATGGTAACCAGAGGGGAGGGGCAGGGGGATGGGTGAAATAGGTGATGGGGATTAAGGAGTGCACCCCTTACGATAAGCACTGGCTGAAGTATGTAAGTGATGAATCACTAAATTCTATACCTGAAACTAATATTGCACTGTATGTTGACTAAGTGGAATTTAAATAAAAACTTGGAAGAAATAATAAGTCAAACGTGTTAAGTGATCAAAAACTAAGAGAAAAAATGAACAAAGAACTAAAAAACAGAAAAAACTATATATGGACAAAAGATATTAAAAAATGATTCTATTTAGAATAGCAACAAAATGAATATAATACTAAGAATAAATTTAGTCAAGAAAGTGAAAGACGTACACTGAAAAATAAAAATTGTTGCTGAAAGAAATGAAAGAAGGTATCAATAAATGGAAAGACATACTGTATTAATTGGAGACTTAATATTTTCTTTAAGATTTTATTTATTTATTTATTTATTTGAGAGAGCGAGAATGAGAGAGAGAGAGTGCACATGAGAGGGGGAAGGTCAGAGGGAGAAGCAGACTCCCTGCTGAGCAGGGAGCCTGATGTGGGACTCGATCCCGGGACTCCAGGATCATGACCTGAGCTGAAGGCAGTCGTTTAACCAACTGAGCCACCCAGGCACCCTGGAGACTTAATATTAAGATGACAGTACTACCCAAAGCCATTTTCAGGTTCAATGCACTCCCTATCAAAATCTCAGTGGTATAGAAATATTCATCCTAAAATTTATTTATTTGACAGAGACAGACACAGCGAGAGAGGGAACACAAGCAAGGGGAGTGGGAGAGGGAGAAGCAGGCTTCCCGTGGAGCAGGGAGCCCGATGCGGTGCTCGATCCCAGGACCCTGGGATCATGACCTGAACCGAAGGCAGATGCTTAACCACTGAGCCACTCAGGTGCCCCCAAAAACAGATGTTTTAAAGTAAAATAATGATTATTGTGTGCATCTGTTCTAACCTATCTGGGGGGCTGCCTGAAGGACAGGTGCAAGGAACTCACTTTATGTAACTCAGAAAAAAGCAGCAGGCCCGGCTCATAGAAGCTACCAGGCAAACTACAAAAGTGAAGTTGCCTGAGGTAAGAGATTATGGGTGGAGATATACAATAGACCATCAAGGTCTGGGGGAGATGCTGGAGTGAGTTTTGGGGGTTTTTTTGTTTTTTGTTTTTGAAATTAGGATGTTCAAGACAGCTATATGCATGGGGGAATTAAGACAGCCGTGAACATGCCTGGGCAAGATGCATGCTCAGCAAAGTCCTGAGAAAACCTTAAGCTTTCATCTCAGGCTGATCCCTAGGCTCAGAGCAAGTCCAGCTAAGTGGTGAAGGAGTATCCCAGCACAGAGCCAATCTGCACAGTGGTTGTTCTCTCTTCTTTTTTGGTTGGTGATGTTTTTCTTTGTTCATTTGAGCTCCTGCCCCTCAAGGAAATCTCTGTCAAAACATTAACTGAACACGAGCTAAAGGATCAGAAACCTCAGTAATCACACATGACAAACAATAGTCTTTAAAGAATTTGCAAAAGTACCACAACAAAGGACTACTATAGCCTTCAACAGTCCAAAATCAAAAAACAAAACAATGAAACCCCAGCAACCTCAACCCCCAGGGAAGTGGGAGAATCTGATTTCTGGAGTTCACTCATATGTGGAATTTAAGAAACAAAACAAATGAACATTGGGGAAAAAAGAGGGGAAGGCTAAGAAACTGACTCTTAACTGTAGAGAACAAAGTGATGGTAACCAGAGGGGAGGGGCAGGGGGATGGGTGAAATAGGTGATGGGGATTAAGGAGTGCACTCCTTACGATAAGCACTGGCTGATGTATGTAAGTGATGAATCACTAAATTCTATTCCTGAAACTAATATTGCACTGTATGTTGACTAGTGGAATTTAAATAAAAACTTGGAAGAAATAATAAGTCAAACGTGTTAAGTGATCAAAAACTAAGAGAAAAAATGAACAAAGAACTAAAAAACAGAAAAAACTATATATGGACAAAAGATATTAAAAAATGATTCTATTTAGAATAGCAACAAAATGAATATAATACTAAGAATAAATTTAGTCAAGAAAGTGAAAGACGTACACTGAAAAATAAAAATTGTTGCTGAAAGAAATGAAAGAAGGTATCAATAAATGGAAAGACATACTGTATTAATTGGAGACTTAATTTTTTTTTAAGATTTTATTTATTTATTTATTTATTTGAGAGAGCGAGAATGAGAGAGAGAGAGAGAGAGTGCACATGAGAGGGGGAAGGTCAGAGGGAGAAGCAGACTCCCTGCTGAGCAGGGAGCCTGATGTGGGACTCGATCCCGGGACTCCAGGATCATGACCTGAGCTGAAGGCAGTCGTTTAACCGACTGAGCCACCCAGGCACCCTGGAGACTTAATATTAAGATGACAGTACTACCCAAAGCCATCTTCAGGTTCAATGCACTCCCTATCAAAATCTCAGTGGTATAGAAATATTCATCCTAAAATTCATATGAAATCTTGACGGATCTCAAATAGCCAAGACAATCTTTTAAAGGGAGAAGAAAGTTCTTCTTTCCAGGGAAAAGAGCTTACACTACTGATTTTTAAACTTACTGCAAAACTACACTACTGATTTTTAAACTTACTGCAAAACTATAGATTTCATATGAAATCTTGACAGATCCCAGATAGCCAAGACAATCTTTTAAAGGGAGAAGAAAGTTCTTCTTTCCAGGGAGAAGAGCTTACACTACTGATTTTTAAACTTACTGCAAAACTATACTGGAAATAATCTAAATGTCTATTACGAAATTGATGGATATACAAAATATGGTACACCCATACAAAACTGGCATTAAAAAAAAAAAGACACATAGATGATTGTAATAAAATAGAGAACCCAGAAAGAAATCCTCACATATATGGTCAATGGATTTTAGGCAAAAATGCCAAGACCATTCAGTGGGAAAAGTCAATCTTTTCAACAAATGGCACTGAGAAACTAGGATGTTCAGATGCAAATGAATGCAGTTACCTTATACACCATATACACAAATTAACTCAAAATGGATCAAAAACCTAAACACAAGAGCTAAAATTCTGAAACTCTTAGAAGAAAACATAGGGGGAAGTCTTCCTGATTTTGGATTTGACAATTATTTATTGACTATGACACCAAAAGCACGGGAAACAAAAGAAAAAAATAGATAAAATGTTCTTCATCAAATTTTTAAAATTTTACTTGAAAGGACACTATCAAAAGAGTGAAAAGACAATGCACTGAATGGGAGAAAATATTTGCAAAGCATATATCTTATGAGGGGTTCATATTCAGAGTATATAAAGAGCTCTTACAAATCAACAACAAAACAAACAACCCAATTTTAAAAATAGGCAAAGGACTTAAATAGACAATTCTCCAGAGAAGGTACACAAATGGCCAATAAGCACATGAAAAGATGCTCAACATCACTAGTCATTAGGGAGATGAAAATCAAAACCACAATGAGACACCACATCACATGCGGTAGAATGACTATTATACACACAAAACAAACAAACAAACCTGAAAATAACAAGGATTAGCAAGGATATGGAGAAACGGGAACACTTGTACATTGCTGATAGAAATATAAAATGGTGCAGCCACTGTGGAAAACATTTTGGCAGTTCCTCAAAAAGTTAAATATAGGGGCGCCAGGGTGGCTCAGTCATTGGGCGTCTGCCTTCGGCTCGGGTCATGATCCCAGGGTCCTGGCATCAAGCCCCACATCGGTCTCCCTGCTCAGCATGGAGCCTGCTTCTCCCTCTCCCACTCCCCCCTGCCTATGTTCCCTCTTTCACTGTCTCGCTGTCTCTCTCTCTCTGTCAAATAAATAAATAAAATCTTTAAAAAAAACGTTAAATATAGAATTACCATAAGATGCAGCAATTCCACTTTCAGGTATATATCCAAAAGAAGTGAAAGCAGGAACTCAAACAGATACTTGCACACCAATGTTCATTGCAGCATTATTCACAGTAGCCAAAAGATGGAAATAATCTAAATGTCTATTAAGAAATTGATGGATATACAAAATATGGTATACCCATACAATACCATTCAGGCTGAAAAAAAAAATGACATTTGGTCACATGCTACAACATGGATGAACCTTGAAAACATGTGCTAGGTGAGATAAGCCAGACACAAAAGGCCAAATGTTGTACAATTCCACTTAATAGAGGTACCTAAAATAGGCAAATTCTTAAAGCCAAAAAGTATATTAAAGGTTACCAAATGCTGGGGATATGAGGAGGAGGGGGGAGTTATTGTTTAATGGGAACAGAGTCTCCATTTGGGATGGAAAAAATTTCTGCACATGCATGGTGGTAATTGTACAATGTTGTGATTTACTCAGTGCTGCTGAATTGTATGCTTAAAAATGGTGAAAAGGGTGAATTTTATATATTCTACCTCAGTAAAGAAAAGAAAGGAAAAAAGCAAACAAATCTCAGTGGAGGAGTGACAACCTATAGTCAAGAGAGCATGTGAAATGGGGTATATATCTACACAGGTGTGGGCATAGAGGAGGACATCTTTGTAAAATAAAATATGTTACTTCCAATTTAAAACAAAACTGATGTTGCTCTGGACCATCCCAGTTTAATTTAGCCAGAATCTCTATGGTTGGATCCAAGAATTCTTTTTTTAAATCTCCTCAACTGATTCTAACATACAGGCAGGGTTGAGAACCACTGATCTATATATCTGTTACTCTGTTTATTTCCTCTTTTATCCAAGCCTAAAATCGTGCTACTGTGAATTAAGGCTAGGGCCTGCATTATTTGCTTTTGGTCAATAACGTCACAAAAGGAGCAGCACCACCCACCCCCAAGGCCATAGAGTGAGGCCAACAGGGACACCAATGGTTGTTCCTGTGGAGAAAGGAGACGGGTCTGAGATCAACTTCAAGGTCTGTCCACTCTCCCCTGACCAATCTTGGAAGCTGAGAATTTGCCTGGTCAAGAGTTTCAGGTTTCTTTAGAACCTGTCACAGTTTTATGTAATCCCTGGATTTCTTACGTAGGGTTTGGGAACCAAAAAGATGTGGGTTTGAATCCTAGACCTGCCATTTATTTGACGTGGGGAAAACATACAAAGCTTCCAATTTGCAGTTTCTTCCTCTGTGAAGTGGGGGCACCACTGTCCTCTCTGGAGGCTCAGCAAGGTTAACAGATTTGTGCACAGCCTGTTGGTAAGTGGGACTGTAGGATTTGAACTCAGTCAAAGCTTCCTGCATACTCAACCTCAAGAGATCATTGGACAGGCGCCTGGGTGGCCCAGTCGTTAGGCATCTGCCTTTGGCTCAGGTCATGATCCCAGGATCCTGGGATCAAGTTCCACATCCGGCCCCCTGCTCTGCAGGAGGCCTGCTTCTCCTTCTCCCACTCCCCCTGCTTGTGTTCCCTCTCTCACTGTGTCTCTCTCTGTCAAATAAATAAATAAAATCTGAAAAAAAAAGAGAGAGAGATCATTGGAACCCAAGTCTGGGGTGCTTCTTTCTACCCTGTCAGCACTTAAGTGTCAGATGGTTTTGGACAGGAAAGGATGTGAGAACACACTAGGAGCTTAGAGATTAATTAGAAGAGGCTTCATTGAGTTGGAGTGACTGAAGAGAGGTGTGAAGAAGGCTCGTAGTACAGAGTTGTATCCACCCCCTTAGTACCCACACTGCTCCCTGAAGGGATTTGGGGGGCCTGGAAGTGGGCAGGTGAGGATCACCACTTACTTCATAGCCCATGAAGAGGCCAATGGGCTTGGTGGGCTTCGTCCTGATGCCAATGTTGCCTTCAGTGTTGAACGGCAGGCTGTTGCCCTTGTCGTCAATGATCTGGAGCAACAGGCCTGTGGATCCCAACCTGCAGGGCCACCCCAACACGCCGGCCCCACCCACACAGTACCTGACTATTTGTGTGACACTGGTGAGAATAAATGGGGGGAGGAGCCCTGTCAAAAAATAGATTACAGCTGTCAGAAGACTTTGAAGTCAGGAAATGGTGAAACCCAAGTTATGGGTCTCCTGGTCTCACGGATATGCAGACGTGGCAAACGTGTCTTCAAGCTAGAAAACACAGATCAGGGAAAACTAGAAGCACCAGCTGATGGAGAGAGCTGCCAGGGCTCCCTCCAGGTGCTCTGGTCCCATCTGTTGTGTATGAGGCTTCCGGCTGCCAGGCTGAGCAGCATTCATGCCCAGGATACTGCAGTTCTCAACTGAAGCCTCCCCAGGAAATCGGCGGGAAAACAGGAGGAGAGGAAGAAGGACAACAACTGGGGTGGGGGTGGGGTGGAGTGGGCACAGCTGGTTCTGTCACCTGGTGTCCCACAATTGTTCAATCCCAGCTCAGCCCTAACTGCACCCAGCAAATGCCTTTAGGACCAGACCTGGACGTCGAAGGAGGGGATGCCTTTCCCGATGGAACCCGGCTTGATCTTCATTCCACGGAGAGTGACACAACTTACTCCCTATTCATAAAAGAAAGAAAATGGGGTTGGCCAAAGAGTCCAGGCTGATTACAAAGCATTAAGAACCACACACAGCATCCTCACTCATCCATGTCATTCGATGCTATGCAAAGAACCCTTATGGGGAAGCTAGAAGGCCCAGATTCTAGGTGCAAGGCATGGACCCAATTCTGGTCAGCAGATATTCACCACACCTGACATAGACTGGGCCTGTGCGAGCTCCTGGGGCTACCGGGTCCACTGCGAGGGGCCAAAAAAGAAGCAAAGGGGTGAGCCCGGGGCTGTGGGCATGTAACGTGAGGTGTGGAGTACGCACTGTATGTCAGACATGTGTCCGTTTGCTAGAGGAAGGCCATGATATCATTTAACATTGACTCAGGCTGTTAAACAGTGATAGGAACCCTGTCTCAACGACTCAGAGCTGTGCTGAGAATATTCAGATTGTGTTGTCCCCTCTGCTAGGCAACTGCCCCACCCCCATTTATCCTCCTGATGAACTTTATTCCTCCTTTATGGTACTCTAAAATATCTTTCTAAAGCTAAGCTAGACCAGGATTTGAATCTTTTTTTTTTCTTTTTAAGATTTTGTGTGTTTATTTGAGAGAGAGAAAAACGAGAGACAGAGTAGGGGTGGAGGGGGACGGGCAGGGGGAGAGGGAGAAGCAGGCTCCCCAGCTGAGCAGGGAGCCCAATGTGGGGCTCAATCCCAGGACCCTGGGACCACTACCCAAGCCAAAGGCAAATGCTTAACCGACTGAGCCACCCAAGGATTTGAATCTTGACTCCAGCTATGTGCCAATTAATCCCCCTTCATCTTCTCTGTAAAGGGGTAATTATAACACTTAGCTCTCATAGTACCTGTGAGTGTGTGGAAAACTCTTCACACAGTGCCTGGCACACCAAGTTAGCTCCATAAACAGTCACAACTAGCTATTATTCTGGCCCCAAGAAAAGTCAGTTGGGACATTCTCCTTCTGTAGTATTTTTTCCCACACTTCCATTGTAGCCAAGAGAGCATTATACTTCTTTTTTAAAAAATATTTATCCATTTATTTTAGAGAGATAGAAAGAGTGCAAGAGTGCTTGAATGGGGTTTGGGGAGCAGAGGGAGAGAGAGTCTTAAGCAGACTCCCCGCTGAGCATGGAGCCCTATGCAGGGGCTCAATCCCACGACCCATGAGATCACCACCTAAGCTGAAACCAGGAGTCGGAAACTCAACCCACTGAGCCAACCGAGAGCTCCCAATTATCCTTATTTTTGCTTGTCTGTTTCCCTCAGTGAATAACAAGCATCCTGAGAATAGAGACTGCCCCATTCATCTCTACTACCCTAGTATCTAGGGCAACACTTACTTAAAAACAAGAGTAACAGCAAGGTGAGCATGTACAAGAGGTTGGACATTGTAGCCAGAGCTTTATATACTTCCTTTCGTTTCCCTTATCACAACCCAGCGAGACTGGGTTATATTTCCATTTTGGAGACAGAGAAGCAGAGACTCTGGAAGGTTCAGTGCTATGCCAGTGGTCTTGAAGCCTGTAATTGGCAAGCTGAGATTTGAACCGGGGTCTGAGTTCCTGAGAGGGAAAGCTCTTCCTCCTTTGCTATGTTGCTGCTCACAGTACAGGCATGTGGAAAATGTCCCAGAGATGAGTCAGTGGCTATGCAAATACTTTGTGAAATACAGCACCACCTGGGTATGAGGCAGTATTCTGTTGTTGCAAAGAGTTGATACAAAGGAACCTGGATCATGGGTATATTGTAGTTCTCATCCCACCCTCCTCCTTGTCCAAATATAAACTATGAACCATACAAGAACTAACCTAGAGTCTTAATATTTCTTAGGCCTGGAAGCGGACCAATTAACTGATGATTTAAAAGCATATTTTTTTTTGCAAAAAAGTCAAGACGAGTATGTGAATTGAGGCTAAAATAGTCATTTTGCTCCAGCTCCTGAGATGGTAGTCGTCTGTCTGTCAGTTACAGGGATAACAAGGAGGCTGGGGAAAGTGGCCCAGCAACAGAAATGACTTGAGAATTGTGTTGGAAGATACCTGCCCCTGCCCCTACTATCATTAATAACGTTTTTCTGGTTTAAGACATGCCTGATACTCTGAATGTCCTGTCACCTGGCTAGTCAGTGATGCCTTTGGGAGTCACACTATGTGTGTGTGTATGTGTGTGTGTCTGTGTGTGTGTGTTGGTATATACAGAAAGTCTCTGTTCCCTCCCCCACTCTAGCTAGTGTCCCACAATCAAACCTGTGTGCTGTCCACATGAGCATCCAGAAATGAACTTCTGGGGCCAGCTCCTGGCTGCCTGTGGTTGCCACCCTAGGAAGGAATGAAGTAGGCAGGACTTGCTGATGGTGGGCTCCATGTTACTGGAGAGAACCTCCCATCCCGCCACCCCTCCTGGGCTCCCTAGAGCTAATGATCACAGGGATGGTAGCACCATGTCCTTACACCCCTTTTCAAAGTTTTGTCCAATAGTTTTCAGGACATTGGCCTCTTGACAAACTGATGAGCTGTGAATTGTCTTTGTGCAAATTGATTTGGGGCAAATTAGCCTAGAACTCTGAAGCCTCCCATTGGCTTCAGGCAATGTGTGAGCAGAGTGGGGCCTCTGCATATACATGGTTCAGCTCGTCTGCTGGGCTCAGTGGCTCAGCACATCCTGACTGACCAAGAAAGTACCATCTACCTACTGTTTCTACCTACTGTTTCTGACTGTCCGTAGACCTCGTAGAGCAGAAGACCTGTCCGTTTTCTCCACTGCTCTTGATCCTCCAGCAGCAGAGCCTCCCTGCCAGCACTGCAGTGCTCCAGGGTAGGGAACCTGAGACTTAGGGGAAGGCAAAGTGACAAGAGAACTTGCAGTCAGGCCTTGGATGTTCTGCCCCAGGCCCAGAGTGTTAAGAGCTCAGAGCCTCGTCATCTGGATCATTCATGCTTCTGCTTCCTCATGTTCTTAGTTGCCTTTGGGGCAATTTGCTGGTGGTCAAAGCCAACTGGAAGTCACTCACTTCCTGTCAGTTCATGTTAACTCTTCTGGCAAGGGGTGGGTGGTGGCGGTGAGGCTAATGGGTTTGGATCAAAGGTTTGGATCAACTTTGGAAGCTGACATAAAAAGATGGCAAAGATGTATTTATCAGACCTTGTCTTCACACTCTCTGTGGCTATGAGGGGTATTTTATAAACTGTAAGGTGGTAGGGGATAAGATCCCAAGAGCATGTTAGGATGCTAACAGAACTGCATTGCCTTCTCTGAAGGGTAGGGTCATGTGAATTGAAGGGCTTTTGTATTTCTGAGCAGAGAATGCAAGTTAGAGGGTAGAAATGAATTGCCCAGGACATCAAGGAAGACTGGGATGTGTGTAGGAAAGGAGAGAAGGGTTATGGTAGCAGCCCTGAGAGAAAGAATTTCAGAGAGCCAAAAAGTTGGCTGTGAACATCTGTAGTAGGTACATTGCATGATGTAAATCCTCTTCTTCATTTTTCCCCATAACATTTTCTGCTAATAAAAAAACAACCACAAAATAATGATGGATTCCCTGAAGGACGTGGGGAGAAGTGATTGAGGTCTCAGTACCAGGTGGCCTGGGGCTGAGCCGGGTCAGCTCTTGGGGATGAGAGAGGTAGCAGACATCTGGTTCACCTTCTCATCCTCATCACCCTGTCCTGGTACATCAGAGTCAGAGTCAGGGACAGGAGGGCTGAGGGTGTCTTCTTCATTCTTCTGCAGCTTTATCCAAAGTAGGTAAAATGGGCAGATTCTCTGATGCAGTCATTAGCTATGCTTTGGTTGTATTTTTACTGGGTTTGGACAAAGATCATTGACTGAGGAATGTTCAAAAAGTAGCTTAATATGAGCTTTGAAATACAGATGGAAACAGGATCCAAACAGCTTGAGGCTTCATGAATAAAATCAAAACTGTGTTTCAGAGTTAGCTTCATAAGGGTAGCCACAGAACACCTTAATATTTTAATTCTATATTTACGACATGTTACTCTGATTTTTGAAGTAGCCGTTTTAATCTCAGACTCTTTAAAAGATACATAAATGCCCATAAGTTTCAAAGAGCAGATTTCAGGTTAGCTGAAATTAACCTGCAAACATGGGGAAATGCAAAAATAAAACTCTACAGTAAGATAACACTATATATCCATCAGATTGACAAAAATTAAAAACTCTGACAATAACAAATATTGCCAACGTTATGGAACAATGGGAATTCTCCTCTCCTGTTAATGGGAGCATTTCAATACTTTGGAAAATCGCATGGTAAAATGTCATGTCAGTGTGAACTAGCAATTCGTCTTCCAGAAAAATGCTACAGAAATGCATGCTTATATGCACCAGCGTACATGTACAAGAATTCAATGCAGCATTAATCACTAATAGCCCCAAAATGAAAACTACCCAGTGTCCATTAATGGTAGAACAGATAAAAAACACATCATGTTTTTATACAATGGGATATTATACAGCAATGAAACTTAACTACAGCAACATGCAGCAACATAGACACATCTTAAAAACATAATACTGAAAAAAGAAGCCAAAGATTACAGAGTAATATATGATTACACACATAAAGATCAAAAGCAAGTAAAATATGATAATTTGTTTAGGGGTATTTCCTTAGGAGGTAAACTATAAGGGAAAACAAGGAAAGGAATACCATAAAAGTCAAGATAGTAAATTCCTTTAGGGAAGAAAGAGAGCCATGAAGAGATCTCTGGGGTGTGGGCAATATTCTATTTTTCTGATTCAGTGAGTGGTGACACTGGTGTTTTTCAACAATTCATTAATCTATACATTTATGTCTTATGTATTTTTCTGTATGTTTGTCCTTTCATAAGAAAAAGTTTTAAAAAGAATAAACCCACAATGATTCAAGGCTTACTGAGTGTTTCATTTGGATCTTGGAGTCCTGCTTTAATGAACTAATTATCACCACCAACAATTATCCCCCCCCACACACACACACCCCTCAAAGAACCACAGTTAAAAATAGACCATGGGGGGCGCCTGGGTGGCTCAATCGTTAAGCGTCTGCCTTCGGCTCAGGTCATGATCCCAGGGTCCTGGGATCGAGCCCCGCATCGGGCTCCCTGCTCTGCGGGAAGCCTGCTTCTCCCTCTCCCACTCCCCCTGCTTGTGCTCCCTCTCTCACTGTGTCTCTGTCAAATAAATAAAATCTTAAAAAAAAAAAAAAATAGACCATGGTACATTGGATTCCTTAAATTCCTACCCAAAGATTGTTATGACCAGCTACCACCACTTCTACTATACCTGGTAGAACTGTGCTGTAGAATCGTTCGATATACAAATGGCACAGCAAAGCAATGGGTGATGGGGTATTTGAACAACATCTAGAAAATGAGAAAAGAAGGAATTTTATTTTTATAATAAAGATTTAAAATATCAGTTAATTATTAGCATTTTAATTCTGATCTCCCCTCTAAGGAGAGCCCATTATTTCTTTAATTCTTTCAATAGACCTATACTGAGCATGAATTTTGTACACGCCATGCAACAGACACTGTTGGGCAAAAGCAAGAAGAGTAAGATAACATCCCAACTGAGAGTAGGTGGTAATAGAGGAGATAAAACAGGACTCATATGGTAAGAAGGAAATTGGTAGATGTCATAAGAGAGATTGGAAGAAGGAGAACAAAGCAGAGGGAAATATTCCTTTTGAATGGGTGATCCAGGGACCTCATGGAACAGGGGGCATTTAGTTGGGGTATTTAACAAATGGAATGGTGTCTACAGGCAGAGGAAGGGGGGGAGGTTCTTGCAGATAGAAGGAGTAACAGGAGTAAAGTTTCCAGAGTTGAAGAAACATTTAAGTGAAGTCAAATAATATGGTTTATTTAGACAGGAGAGGAACAAGAAGTAAATTTGGGAAGATTGGGGTTAGTTGGAGCCAGATTATATAGAGTCTAAAATGTCTGGTATTCACTGTTGTTTTACTAGAGGTGGGAGTCTTTCAGTTTCAGATCAGGGTGGAGATACACTGGGAGAACAAGGAACACTAAAGAGGAGAGAATGTGGGTTTGGGGTCAGCCTGCTTGACTTCAATCCTGTTACTAATTCCTCTGCAACTCTGTTTCCTCATCTGTAAAATGAGAATATCTGTATCTTCCACACAGAACCACAGGGAGGTGTAATGGGTACTTGGGGGAAATCTGCGTCCACTTTCAGTCCTCTTTCTGAGTCCAATCAACTCTCCCTCCCTCCCTCCCTCACCTCGCTTCCTTCCTTCCTTCCTTCCTTCCTTCCTTCCTTCCTTCTTTTTCCAGTATAATTAACATACAGTGTTATATAGTTTCAGTTGTATAATATAGTGATTCAACAATTGTATATATGACTCAGTGCTCATTAAGGTAAGTGGACTCTTAATCTCCTTCACCAATTTCACCCATCCTCTCACTCACCTCCCCTCTGGTAGCCATCAGTTTGTTCTGTATAGTTATGAGTCTATTTTTTGATTTGTTTCTTTTTTTTTCTGTGTTTGTTTGTTTCTTAGATTCCACATGAGTAAAATCATATATTTGACTTTCTCTGACTTATTTCGCTTAGCATTATACCTGCTAGATCCATCCAAATTGTTGCAAATGGCAAGAGTTCATTCTTTTTTTTATGGCTGAGTAATATTCCATCATATCTATGCCTATCTATCTATCTATCTCACATCTTCTTTATCCATTCATCTATGAAACATCTTCTTTATCCATTCATCTATGGAACCTCCCCCCCTTCCTCTGCCTGCAGCCATTCTGACAGGTGTGAGATGCTATCTCATTGTGGTTTTGATGTGCATTTCCCTGATGACGAATGATGTGGAGCATCTTTTCATGTGTTCCTGGGCCATCTAGATGTCTTCTTTAGAGAAATGTCTGCTCATGTCTTCTCATTTTCAATTGGATTATTTGGGGGGTTTTGTGTTGAGTTAAATGGACAGTACATCTTTAGGGAGCGCCTGGGTGGCTCAGTCATTAAGTGTCTGCCTTCGGCTCGGGTCATGATCCTGGAGTCCCGGGATCAGGTCCCACATCTGGCTCCCTGCTCAGCAGGAGGCCTGCTTCTCCCTCTCCCACTCCCCCTGCTTGCGTTCCCTCTCTCGCTGTCCCTCTCTCTGTCAAATAAATAAATAAAATCTTTAAAAAATTTAAAAAATGTATAGTACATTTTTAACTTAACACTCCTTCTTTCAATCAGTATCTCTCATCTTCAATAAGAGGAACTGAAGCTAAAAATGTTATCATTAAAATCACAAAAGTAACAAATGAAAAATAAATCAAAATAATTAAATTTTCAAATGCTGGTGTGTGTGTGTGTGTATGTAAATTTGTAGAATTAATACTTTGAAACAATTCAAGCTTAAAGCACACTGAGACTTTGGGACACCCATGTAGTGGAGGTGGCGGGGGGAAGGTGGATTCGGTGTTTTTGTTTTTGTTTTTGTGCAGCTTTAAGCCTCAAGGACTGGCAGGATGTGTGCAGTAAACAATGACAGAGAGGCAAATATTGACATGTGGCAGGGAATAAGAAATGGAAAATGCAGTCTGATGTGCTGGAGGGATCATCAGATGGACTTGGGGGAGATAAACAAGGGGGAATTTGCATGGAGGGAGAAGACTAGACCTAAGGCATAGGTTCAAGAACCTCCTGAATGGATGCACATGCTGGTGAAATGGAAGTAGAGGAGATTGGTTAGAAGGAAGAGGAAGGGTGAGGGCAGACCCTTGGAGGACTGCAGTGTTCAGGAGTAAGCTGGGTGAAGAGGATGTGGCTGCAGCAAGTGGAGAATGTTCTATAGAGTAGTTTGATACTAAGGGAGGAAAGACAGGGTTGGTCCAGTGTGGAGCAGGGTGAAGGGAAGGTATTTTTTAGGATGGGGAACCATGAATATGTTTATGGACTAAGGGTACAGAGTTAATGAAGAGCAAGAGGTTGAAACTATGGGAGAAAAGATTTAATAAATGAAAGACTAATGAAGAGGGGCAAAGTGAGAGATAATGAAGAGGGGCAAAGTGAGAGATTAAAAATACAGGAGAAAAGATTTAATGGATGGGAGATTAATGAGAAGGGCTCCTAAGAGAAGGACAGAGAAAAGAGCAGACTCCACAGAGGTTGTGGGGAGGGGACTGGACTTTGAGAGGTGGAGGGGCCTGTGTGCCAGCTCAGGACTAAGCACTCCACATACTTCACCTGTACCGTCTCATTTATATTCCAACAATTTTGTGATGTAGTAATTATTAAAACTCCCATTTTACAGATAAAGAAACTGAGGCTCGGGGTAGCAAGTAAACCACAAATAAATGTTGAACATGGGATAAGAAACTAGATTTGTCATTTTCCAAGGACTCTGTTTTTAAACACTTCAATAAATTGAGCAACAACAACAACACACACACACACACACACACACACATTCACACACACACACACCAGCTACCTGACTCTGGCAGATCCAGGATACCTGAGCTTACTCTGGTGGCTTTAATTTCTTAAAATGTGTTTTCAGGGTCCCAAGTCCACAAAATCTGATCCATAGGCCTGGGGGAAGGGCTTGGAATCTGCATTTTCTTCAAGGTTTCATCCAATGTGATTTAGATACAGTGATGGATTCAGTGCTCCACACTTTGAGAAACCCAGAACCAGGGTAATACTGTGCTTATGGAACCCTCTGCTAAATAAAATATTTTTCAGCAGGGTCCAGCTTTTGAGTTTGAAACATGAGTTTCTTCTAGGAGTTTGTCAATACCAGAAGGTTAGTCTTCTTACCTGTTCAACAACCTTGGGGTCAAACTGGGGCAGATGATGGATAAGGAGTGTAGCCCCTGCTGTCCATGGTTCCAACAGGCACCCAAAGACCGCCAGAATCCAGCCTGTGTCCGAAAGGCACCAGAAGATATCAGATGTCTTCAGTTGCAGCAATTTCCTGCTAACTCCAAAATACAGTGGCCTCAGGTATGTGATTGATCATGAGAGAATGTGATCAAGGGCTGGGGACTCTGGTTTTCAGGTGGTGACCCACCCCTCATTCTCAGTGCATGTGGTTTGACTGGGGCTCCAGACACACTCCCAAACCAGGTCCCTAGAATATGCCAAATCCTATTTTCCGGCATGTGTGCCTTTAACTGGTTCAGTTATAATTATCCTTAAGGCTGGGAATATGGGGACAAAATCTGTAGCTCTTTTCTTGGATTTGACTCTGTTACTGATATAGTCCTAGATAATGTTGGCCATTTGGGGATAACAAGAGATAATAAGCCTTTCTGAGAAGAGCATCAAAACACAGCAGAAACAGGGCTGACGGAGAGATGAAAACCTAATCCAGAGACTCTCTAGCTATGTCTGAAGCCAAACCCTGGAGTGCCCTGCCTCATGATCCAATAAATTCCTGTACTCATTTTTTGGCTTAAAGAGGTTTAGATTGGGCTTTCTGTCATTTGTGATGAAGAAAGACAAAGGGAGAGAAGAGGGAGAGAGGGTGAGAGAGAGACTTATTTCTTAATATCCCATCTTGGCAAAGGACTGGAAACAATTAGACAATAGGCAATAATTGGAAGGTGGAGTGGAGAAGGTTTCTCATTTCTATACCCTACCTTACTGCTTCTGCATAACTCCTTGAGAAAACACAACCTTCCCATTAGCAGGCAATGGCTTTGAGGAACTTTACTATTAATAGGGAAGGGCAATCCACCCTCCCTCATCCCAGCTCTCTTAGGATTGTGGCTCACCCGTAAGACGTTACTAGCTAGGAGGATCTGTCTTCTCAGCTTTAGACCCACTACCCACTGAACATCTCTTCTGGGGTGTCTCTCAGGGACCTCAAACTCACTAGATCCTAATCTCTCCTGACTCCCTTGGACTAATTCTTTCTCCTCCAATGTTCTCTGTATTTTAGTGAATGTCATTACTGTCCATGAAACTGTCCAAGCCCAAAATCTGACAGTCAACTTTGACTGGCCCCTCTCTGACTGGCCCCTCTCTTATCTCCCACATCTAGCCAGTAGATCCCATCCATTTTACCTCCTAAAATCTCAAATATGTTAACTTCCTTCATGTCTCTGACACTTTCGCCAAGCCACCACCATCTTGGATTATTCTAAGACCCTCCAAATGGTCTAACTCCATTCTGATTTTTCCCAACCCATTCTCCATATTGCAACTACAGTGATCTTTTATCTTTTTTTTCTTTTTCTTTCTTTCTTTCCTTCCCTCTTTCTTTTTCTTTCTTTCTTTCTTTTTCTTTCTTTCTTTGTTCTTTCTTTCTCTTGAGAGAGAGCATGCATGTGCACAAGTGGGAAGTAGGTGGGAGGGGAGAGAGAGAGAATCTCAAGCAGGTTCCACGTTCAGCACAGAGCCCAACGTGGGGCTCGATCTCAGGACCCTGGATCATGACTGAGCAGATGCTTCACTGACTGAGCCACCCAGGCACTGCCACAGTGATCTTTTCAAAACACAAATCTGATCAGGTCTTTCCCTTGCTAAAATATGTCGCATTGCTCTAATACCTCCTCTCTCTCTCTCTCTCAAAACAAACAAACAACTCTCTAAACACTACACTAAGGCCCACAAGATCCTACAAGATCTGGGGCCCTGCTTACTTTCCCAACTCCTCCCGTCTATCCCTTACCCCACACTCTGAGCACCAGCTACCCTCGAATCTCAGTAGTTCTATAAATGCTACTTTTTATATCTTTGTGCCTTTGCTCTTGTTATTCAGACTGCACAGAAAGAACTCCCCTTCTTCCACCCCCATTCCTCCAGGGTTTTGCTATTCAGTTGTTATCACTGTATAACTTTGCATCAGCACAGATAGCCGAGGTCCACCAGAAACCTCGTGGTGCCCTCTGGTCTGGTTAATAAGTTAGGAAATATATTGAACTTGTTTTGGTCTGAATATTACTCTGGTGGAGGGGCAGAGGGGAGAAGAGGCTTAGTTTAAAATTGATTAAATGATTAACCCAAGGCTACAGCTTCAGCCTCCATGATTGTTTGTTCTAGATTAGGGACAGTGGCATGGTGTGGCTTGGTTCCAGGTATTATTTTCCCTAACAGCTCATAATTGGGTAACTCCAAGTTTCATTTGTCCATTACTAGGGAGAGGAAAGGACCTGTTGTTTCAGGTTACATTGTTAGCACATTCTGTCCTTCCCCACCAAACCCTGAGTCAACTGACAGGGACACCTCCTGTCAAGGTGTTCAAGCAGGACCTAAATATGCCTCCTTTGTCATCAGAGGCCTCTGTCAGCAAATGGTTAGGATTCCCAGCATTCTCAGATTTTCATCAGTCTGAACCAAAGAGCACAGAAGGGAGAAGCAGGATGGAGTCAATTTTGCTTAGAGCTCTTTTCCCAACCCACATGTTCACTCACACACATGCACACACCACCCCAGGTGTGTGGCCCAGCCCATAACTCAGTGCCTTCTTTCCTACCTTGAAGGGAAAGAGGATCACAAGGCAAATCCATGACTGTGTTTTGCCATCTTGGGGAAGCCTGTGGTCCCACTTGTAAAGAAGATGGCCATTGGGTCCAGAGTCTTTGACTTAATACAGGTATGATCTGGGGAGGCTGATCTGCAAAGGCATTCAGTACAAAAGGGGAGAAGTCCTATTTCCTGCTTTTCCATCCCCAGAGAAGCAAAAGGAACAATATGACGCTTGGAGTCAGAAAAATGGAGGTTTCTAACACTGGAGGGGAAACCAGTTCTCCCAGTGTTAAGGATCAAATGGAGTTTGAGAGTGAGTTAGATAAGTAGTCTGACATCTCTTCATTTAAAAAGGGGGGAAATACAGTGGATTGCTTTGCATGTAACAAACACTGAAATAGCACTTCCAGGCAGTGCTCTAAGTGATTTACAAATAAGAACTCATTCAATCTTCAGACCAACCCTAAAAGGCAAGTACTGCTCTTATTGTTCCCATTCTGTGGATGAGAAAACTGAGGCTCAGAAAGGTTTTTCATAACTTGCCTGAAGACATGTACCCAGCAAGTGGTCCAGCCAGGATTCAAATTCACTCAGTTTGATCCAAAGACTATGCTCTTAATCACACTGCTAAGCTTGTTTTTTACATGAACCAACTTAATAGGAATTTCACCCCATAATCTTGGCAATGAGGGGTGGGGAAGAGGAAATGAGGATGCACATTTGCCCTGGTATAAGCTTGAGATGGAAGGTAGAATCTGTAGGGTACCCTAGTGTACCTTGATTCTTGGGGACTTCTCCTAGATTGGGAGTCTCTTGGGCTTATAAATGCAAGTTCCCTATGGTGTTTGATTGGAGAAACTGCAAATGATCCCAAGGCTGCAGGACACACTGACTCTTGCTGTGATATGATTTTGGCAATTTCAGGGAGTTTTAGAGAATATTCTTTATTTACACCATTTTCTTTTAATTGTCTGACTTTAAAATCCAGTGTAAGGCGTGACTTCAGTGTGATATTTGCCTTTTGAGGCTGAAGTAAAGGACTTTAAAAACTGAGGGGTTACTTCAAGAAAACAAACCCAGCATGGTTTGTGAGTGATATGAAAAATGCCTGAAGATCTACAGAATCAGAGTTTTGGAGGTGGAACTGGTCTTACTTACCTCCAACACTTCCCTAACCTTTCCTGCAAGGTGTCCCTAAAGTTATGCAACCTCTAAGAGATAGAAAGCGTTTGCTCCCCAAACTGCCTGACAGCCACAGCCCAATTTTTCTTATAGTCTCAAGCTTTCCCTTAAAAATTCATCCCTTAATTTTTCATTCAACCTCTTCATATATTTATTTTTTATATAAACATAATATTTCAGATTCCCTACCTACAGGAAGACACAACACAACAACCCTCTGACTTTATACATCTCCTTTACACAGGGTTGATAATACTTTAGTGACAGAGGCATGGAAGTTCAATACCCTTATTTTACAGATAAAACAATTGCATCCAAGAAAGGGGAAGGGACCAGCCCAGGGTCACCTAGCAAATCAGTGCTACTGTTTTAGTTTAGTTTAGTTAGCATTCTGTGGGAAGAGAAGGTTTCTGCCATCAGACCTGGTGAGTCTCCTCCCACTGGTTGTTTGTCTACCAGCACTTGGGAGTGAATGGCCTTCTCCTGCCCTTCCTTAGAAAGAACATTCATCAGAACAGAAACTCAATCAATGATCGTTAAGTCCAGCCACCCTTGATGGCTATGGTCAGACACCAGGAGCTTTGTTTTCAGAGTAGGACACTCGGAAGCTAAAGAACCCACCTCTGAGGCAAGGGTATCTGTGGTCACGATGCCCTTGGCTTTGGACACTTGTCATCGGTAGAGAATGTCCTTGGCCTTCAACTGGATGGTTCCTGGCATGAAGATTATTCCTGGGAATGAAAAAGGAAATTTGGGGTTTCAGGCTTGGCTTATTTGCATAGAAATCCACTAGCCTCTTGCTGTGCAAAGTATGGCCCATGGACCAGCACCATCAGCACCACCTAAGACACAAAATCTCATGCCCCATCACAAACCTACTGAATCAGAATCTGCACTTTAACAAGGTCTCCAAGCGATTCCTATGCACACTGAAATTTGAAAAGCCTGCCCTCACCTCTACTACTCTAGATGGATCTGGCCAGTAGACTGGTGGATCCTACTTTACACAGGATCTGGGACTAAGCATGTAAGTAGGACGGTGTCCCTGACATCAGGATTAGCTGCATCCCTACCTCCATTTTTCTCATCTCATTTCCCCCTCTGTCAGTCCCTTGTGTCATCTTGAATCTCCTCTCCTTCACTCTGCATATCTAAATTTAACTACATTATCCTTTGAACTGCCCTGCTTTCCCTTCCATCTTCCATCACCAACAATTAGTTCAAGTCTTCATGTGCCCCTGTTGGGTTCTAATCTCTCCACCACGTGGGTTCCCATCTCTCCACCAGGTGCCTTGTCCTGAATCTTCCTACTACCCAACTTCCATATTGTTACCTGTTCACGTTCCACAGAACACTGACTTTTCCCACTCCGCTTTTCTTCTCTTCACCAGCACCTGTACCCTCTCTCTAGGAAAACACCATACTCTCCCCAACACTGAAGGCACTGCCCACACTCTACCTTTCTCTCCTGCAAATCTATTCACTATTTCAATATGGCTGTTCTTCACACAGGCTTCTCCTGACTCCTGCCTTCTGCCCATCCTTGGAATTCTCTTCATTTGCTTCTATCCCTCTTTAAATCTGCCTATACCAGAGGGCTAAGCTCATGTCTGGATTTCCCATGGGCCATCTCTTAGCTCTACAGATGACATGGCTTCTCTATACTCTCTCTGCCATTGCTGTTAATTCTTCATTCCACATGATCTTGATGGATTAATCTAGTATTTTATTGGTGAGAGACTATATGAACATGCATTATAAAGCAAATCAAAAGAGAATCCATGAGTCCCACACCAACTCTAAATTATATAAAAAGATAGGCAAGTAAACAGGAAAGGGAAATAGCCACAGAATGCTAACTAATAAATGTAGAAAGAATAATATGTAGAAAATTTTCATATAAAATGACCATAATATTATTCAATTCAATCAAGAATCATTAATGGATTCTCAAGTCATAGGGTGAAAGACAACTGGAGAACAGGATATTCACACAGTCTCATAAGTATTACTTACTAACTATAAAGGGACAAGATGCCTTGCAAAGGTGTTTGTAAATATCACTGATGATAGGACAAACCAACTTGATGTATCCCCTGATGTAAAGCACTGAGATAGGCAAATTGTCCTTTTAGTACTCCTACTAAAAATGTTTAACTGAATGTAATCCTGAGGAAAGAGTCAGAAACACAAATTTTGTGGGATCTTCTGCAAAACAAGTGGCTTAGACATTTTCAAAATATGGTCATACAGAAAAGTCCAGATTGAAGGAGATTGAGGAGATGTGAAACTTAATGCAATGCATGATCCTCTATTGGATTTTGGATTCAAACAAAAAAATTAAAGAATTTTGTCTATAGATGTATCAGTGTTAGATGTCTCGTGTGACAACTCTGTTGTGGTTAGGTCAGGAGAATATCCTGGATCATAGCAGATGCATACTCCGGTGTTTATGGGTGTTTATCTGGTGTTTATGGATGTCACAATGTCTGCAACTGATACTTAAATGACTCAGTGTGGGAGGAGTGCAAAATGTTAACAATGGATGGATCTTTATTTTTTTTCTTTTTTTTTTAAATTTAAATTCAATTAATTAACATATAGTGTATTATTAGTTTCAGAGGTAGAGTTCAGTGATTCATCAGTCTTATATAACACCCAGCGCTCATTACCTGATGGATCTTTGAAAAAAAGAATGAGACTATGCAGGAGAAAGTGTGTGTGTGGATGATTTAGAGAGTTGTGACGCTGTGTTTGAGGGTGTGTAAGTATGAAAGAGAGAGTGAGTGAGAAGGAGTAAAAGAATATTTGAGGGAGTCTGAGAAAGACAAAGACTGTGCAGAATATGAAAAAAGATAGGGGAATATTAATATTTCAGGACCAATTCGCTCTGGGCCAGACCTAAAGTCTGTTGGGGTCTCTTTCAGTCACTGACCTGCTCGGATGCAGCCTATGGCCACCAGCCACCACTCAGGCACTCAAGGCAGAATCAAGGCTAGACGGTCTCCCTGCTGCAGGCCACAGGTCTGGGTGAAGACATTGGCTGCATGGCGGGATAGGTCTGTCAACTCTCTGAAACTCCACTTCAGTTCATCCCCTTGGTTATTCACCCACCACAGGGCTGGGTTTGGACCGCTCTTGCCCTCCTGGTCAAGATCATACACCATGTGTTACTTCCTACTTCAAAGGAAAAGGGCACTTATTTGGCCAATCTACTACCAAAGACACATTCCAGTGAAAATGTAGCTCAAGGACTGAGATCCCATTTTAAAGCATTTATAGAACCAAGAAAAGTTGGGGATAGGGTGTGATCCAGTGAACTTCTTCTGGTCTACTGTCACCACCTCCTCTAGAGTCACATAAAACCATGAATAGCCTTCATGTCACCTATTAAAGCCTTAAAATTTCATTCTCCCATGTGTCTGTCTTAGTTCCATATGGACAGTAGGTTCTCCTCTGTGCCTCAGTTTTCTCATCTATGAAATGGGTACAATACTACCTAGAAGGCAGTAAAGTTTAAATTAGTTATTTAAACAGGTAAAGTGTATATGACAGTGCCTGGCACATCGTAGGTGCTCAATAAAATTACTATCATTAGTATTACAACAGAACAAGAGACTAATCTAATTCCTGAATATTTGGGGGAGTTTATATTTAAAATTAAGATACCTCTAGAGGTGAAATAAGCAAGAAGACAGACCTGGAAGCTCCCAAGTAACCCTTGTTCCCTCACAGAAACATCAGGTAATCAACAGACTAAAATAGCTTTGTAGGAACTCTAGAAATAGTCAAGGATCTATGGCAACCAACAAATGTCCAAACGATAAAAATTCATATTCAAAATGGTAAGAAATTTCATGTTGTTTTTGTTTACCTTTGCCCCATCCCCTCTCTGGTGTTGTGAAGTATGATCGGGGGAAGCCACCTGATTTCCAGCCCCTCCCTTGGGACAGAAGAAAAGACTGGAATTTGTTTCAACATTCTGGCTTGTCAGGACTGGTTTCTGCCTCATCTGACTTGGGAGCTCAGATAGGAACGGTGACCCAGTTTGAATAGCAGTTGGAGGTGTCTGAAAGCAGTGGCAGATGCCACAATGAGTGGAAACTGTAGACCGTGGCCACCTCAGAGAAAGGGGGGACAGGGCGGACTACAGACAGAGGAAGGCAATAGAACATCTAGGGCCCCAAGAAGAAGCACGTATGAGACTTTTAAGGAAATTAAAACATGAAAAAGTAGCAATGTATTTGGTAAAATTGAGAAAAAAGTACATGCATAGGCCTAGGAAAGACAAACGCCCGAGACCTTAAGTTTTCATATGGTTAGATTACTGAAGGCCTTTCTCTGCAAAGAGCCAGCTGCAAAGACAGAGACTGGCTGCTTTTTTCAAATATCCAATTTTCAACAACCAGATCACAAGGCCATGTTGCCCATTTGAAGGAATAAAACAAATCTCCAGAAACTGACCCTAAAGAGACACAGGTTTCAGTTATTAGACAGAGACTTTAAAATGATTGTCTTAAACCTGCTGAAAGAGCTAAAGGAAAATGACAAAGAACTAAAGCAAATCAGAAAAACAATATATGAACAAAATAAGAACCAAACAGAAATTCAGGATCTGAAAAATACAATAACTGAATTGAAAACTTTACCAGATGGATTCAACAACAGACTCAGTCAGACAGAAGAAAGAATCAGTGAACTTGAACACAAGTCATGTTAAATTATGGAGTTTGAGGGGCAAAAAGGATAAAAACAATGAAGAGAAGTGTGTAGAGCCCAAGGGACATAGTATATAAACAATGAGAGCAATATACACATTATGGGAGTCCTAGAAGAAGAAGAGAGAGAGAGAAAGGAGCGACGAGCTTATTTGAAGAAATAATGGCTGAGGAAAGGCAAAACCATATTTGCATTAAATACAGGTTTATATAGTAGTATTCATTCATTCATCCATCCATTCATTCATTCATTCAGTATATGGATATACAAATACAAAAGGCTCAATGAACTCCAAATAAGAAAGCCCAAAGAGACCCACACAGAGACACACTGTAATCAAACTACAAAAGCCAAAGACAGAAAGCAGCAAGAGAAAAGTGACTCATCATGTATAAATCTTTAATGAGATTATTAGTGGGTAGCAGACCAGAAGACAGTGGGATTATATATTTAAAGTGATGGGGGAAAACCTGTCAATCAAGAAATTCTATATTCAGCGAAACTGTCCTTCAAAAATGAGGGAAAAATTAGGTCAGATAAACAAAAATTGAGGGAATTCCTTATCAAAAATTGATGGCCTATAAGTTCATTTCTCTATAAGAAATGCTAAAAGGAAGGGCGCCTGGGTGGCTCAGGGGTTAAGTGTCTGACTTTGGCTCAGGTCATGATCTCAGAGTTCTGGGATCAGCCTGCACTGGGCTCCTCAATCAGTGAGGAGTCTGCTTATCCCTCTCCCTCTGCCCTTCAACCTGCTCGTGCTCTCTCTCTCATAAATAAAATAAAAAAAAAAAAAGAAATGTTAAAAGGAGTCCAAGTTGAAATAAAAGGACGTCACACAGTAACTTGAATACAAAAATATAAAGTTCTTTGATAAATACATGGACAAATATAAAAACCAATATTATTGTAATTTTGGTTTGAGACTCCAGCTGTTACTGTTTTGCAGTATTTAAAAGACAAAAGCATAGAAAATAATTATAGTTCTATGTTAACTTAATATATAAGTATGTGATTTGTGACATCAATAACACAACATGGGGAGCTAAGAGGGAGCTGGAAAAGATTAGGGGTTTTGTATGCAAATGAAGTTGTTATTAGTTTAAAATAGATTGTTATAACTTTAAGATGTTATATGTAATCCCTATGGTAACCACAGAAATTATCTACAGAATATACACAAAGGGAAGTGAGAAGGGAATCAAAACATATCATTACCAAAAAATCAACTAAAGACAAAGAAAGGCAGTAAGAGAGGAAATGAGAGACCAAAAGCTATGACATCAAAAAAATAATTAACAATATGGTAATAGTAAGTCTTTACTTGTCAGTAATTACTTTAAATGTAAGTGCACTAAATTCCCAAAACTAAACTAAAATCCCCAAAAGACATAAATTGACAGAATGAATTAAAAAAAGAAAACAGAATCCAACTATATACTATCTACAAAACTGTTATTTCTAAATGATGGAATATGATAAAACCATCCAAACACTTTCAGAAATTGTTTTGGAATAAAAATTTCACAGTACAATATTAATTTTAAAAAGCAATACTACATTATAATCCAAATGTATACAGTAGTATCCATTCATTCATTCAATATATATTTACTAAATTCTCATTATCTGTTAGGCACTGTTCTTAGACCAAAGGATACAATGGTGAACAAGACATACGTATACACACATATGTACATGGTTTTAAATATTTTTTTAAAGATTTTATTTATTTATTTAAGAGAGAGAGCAGAGAGGGAGAGGGAGAAGCAGACTCCCACTAAGCAGGGAGCCCGATATGGGACTCGATCCCAGGACCCTGAGATCATGACCTGAGCTGAAGGCAGACACTTAACCAACTGAGCCACCCAGACACCCTGGTTTTAAATATTTACAGCCAATTATCACTTTTTGTTTAAGTAAAATTTCTTATTTTCCCTCAGTTTTCTATAATGAGCATGCTTTTTAAAAAGATTTTATTTTTTTAATTAATTTCCAAAGCATGTCCAGAGTAAAAGTGCAGGCAATGCAGAATCTTATGAACAGAAAAATTTCTTATAAATAGAAAAATGCCTTCAAGTGTCCCATCACATTTTCACTACTTGAAGGTCAACACTGATAATTATCTGGTGTATATTCTTCCAGCAATTTTTTTCCACATATGTGCAAACCTGATCCCACCATATTTGCCCCATATGATTGGAACAAAAGAGTGTACCTCACCTGAGATAAGGTAAGGTTAATATATATGTATATTCACATGTAAGTATTCATATTTATGAAAAAAAACAGTGTTATGAACAATTCTTGCCCAACAGATTACAGAATATTTAGCAAGTGTAATGACTAGTTATGTACATTACATGAGGGGAGCAGAGTATGTAATATTATTGTAGGAGTTTTAAAAATGATGGAAAAGCTGGTAGAAAACATTTGTTGCTCAGAACTCAGGCAGTATTTTAGACGCTAACTCTTACAACTTGAAGAAGATATTGCTTACACGGTGATGGATTTTTGTGTTAAGGATTAATCTGATAATGTGATACTCACATAAAGCTGTTTTCCAAGAAGATAGAAACACCCTCTAACCTTGGAGTTGAAATTTAAGTTTTATGTGGTAATGTTTGAAGCCAAAGGAAATTGTGAAATAGTTTCAAAAGATAAAATGCTTAGTATTTAACTTAGCAATAAAAAAGATGAACAACAAATACACAGCGATAAATCTCAAAAACAATAATGTTGAATCAAAGAAATCAGACACAAAAGGGTGCATCTTGTATTATTCCATTTCTATGAAACCCTAGGAAAGAGAAATATAATCTCCAGTAGCAGCTGATCAGTGGTTGCCTGGGGCTCAGAGCCGGTGGGGTAGGGACTGACTAGGAAAGAACAAAAGGAAACTTCTGGGGTGACAGAAATGTTCTAAAACTCCAAGTTTACACTAAAAAGGTGTGCATTTCATTCCATGTAAATTATACATCAACATAGTTGATTTAAATAAACAAAAACCTACATAGCTACTCCTTGCTAATCTCTAACTAAAATATACTTTGAAGAAGGAAAATTGGAAAGGTAGATCAATTACTTTCAGTATTCAAAAATGACATGATTCTTTTGGAATATCAAACACGTGAGAGGGGCACCTGGGTGGCTCAGTTGGTTAAGTGTCTACCTTCAGCTCAGGTCATGATCTCAGGGTCTTGGGATGGAGCTCCATGTAGGGCTCCCTGCTCAGCAGGGAGTCTGCTTCTCCCTCTCCCTCTGCTCATCCCTGCTGCTCATGCTCTTGTCTCTCTCAAATAAATAAATAAAATCTTTAAGAAAAACACACACACACACAAAACAAACATGTAAGAGTTTATGGCCTATAGAAAAAATTGCCTCCGTCTTATTTACAATGAAATATAAGTTGAAATTCAATGTTTTCTATAAAGTAATGATGGAATATGGTGATATTGATAGACTAATAGAATTTATATATGATAGATATATATGATAGACTAATAGAATTTATATCCTAATTGACATAGATAGAACATTTTGCCTAATAATGATATAATTCACATTCTTTTCCATTGCATTTGGAACATTTACCAACCTCAAAAAATCTCAAAAGTTTAAAATAGAGTATGTTTTCTGACCACAGTGGAATTAAGCTAGGAATCATTAACAACAAGGAAATGAGAAACCCACCCCCAAGTATGTGGAAACTAACAATATGTTTCAACATAATTTATCAGTCAGAGAAGGATCATAAGGCAAATAGAAAATATTTTCAACTGAGTGATAATAAAATATGACATATCAAAATTTGTACAATGCACCTAAAAGGAATGCTTAGTGGAAATTTGTACTTTTAAATGCATACATTAGAAAAGAAGGCAGGCCCCAAAGCTTCCCTATCAAGAAGCTGAAAAAAGAAATCAAAGGAAATCAAATCAAAGGAAAGTAGGAGGAAGGAAATAATAAAGATAAGAGTGTGCATCAGTGGAATGGAAAACAAATAACACAACTGAGAATCAGTGAAGCCAAAGCTGGTTTTGAAAAGATAAATAAAATTGATAAACTGCTAGGAAGACTTTTCAAGGGAAAAAAGAGAATAAAGATATTAACAATATTAGAAATGAAAAAGTGTAAGCAATTACAATTCTTTTTTTTAAAAGATTTTATTTATTTGTTTGTCAGAGAGAGAGGGAGAGAGAGAGCCAGAGAGTGCAAAAGCAGAGGGAGCGGCCAGCAGAGGGGAGAAGCAGGCATCCCCCTGAGCAAGGAGCTGATCTGGGACTCATCCCAGGGATCCTAGGACCCTGGGGGATCATGTCCTGAGCCAAAGGCAGATGCTTAACCAACTGAGCCACCCAGGCGTCCTTGCAATTACAATTCTTACAGACATTAAAATAGCAACAAGAGGAAAAATATGAATAATTTTATGCCAATAAATTTGACAACTAGTATGAAATGAACAAATTGCTAAAAAAAAAAAAAAAAAAATTCAGCTCGCCAAAACTGATAGAATCAAAATCTTAATAACCTTGTATCTATTAAAGAAGTTAAATCCATTCTAAAAGCTTTCCTGCAATGAAAACTCCAGATTTTATGTCTAAAAGTTTTGGTGTGCATACTAAGTGTATTAAGAGTTTGACTTGAAAAACGAATGCTTTTAAATAAGTTGAGATAGGGCGCCTGGGTGGCTCAGTTCGTTGGGTGACTGCCTTCGGCTCAGGTCATGATCCTGGAGTCCTGGGATAGAGTCCCGCATCGGGCTCCCTGCTCGGCGGGGAGTTTGCTTCTCCCTCTGACCCTAACCCCTCTCATGTGCTCTCTCTCATTCTCTCTCTCTCAAATAAATAAATAAATTCTTTAAAAAAAAAAATAAGTTGAGATAATCTTGTTTTTCTACCAGCAGTGCCAAACTCAGAGGCTACAGGGCCTGGGCAAGTAACATAAATGAGAGAAGCCTGGCCACGTCCCTCTGGGATAAACTGGAGAGCCAAGTGTCTCTCAACGGGGAGCAGCCATTCAGCTCTACCAGATGATTGTTGCAATATAGGAATGAATGTTTAGTATTATGAGATGTGCCTTTACAAAAGAAACCCCAAAGCCCGATTCTGGTTCCTGTACTCTGTTGCTTTCTCTGCATGAGGGCTCCTTGGGCCAAAGCCTTCCCTCTTCGCATCTACGTATTTACAACACATCCATGAGAAAGTTAACAGCCCATTGCTAAAATACAACCAAGTTATGGCCAGACACCAACATTGCTTATCTTGTGCTGGCTGTGCAGGGAGCTGATGCATTCAAATTCATTCAACAAATAGTTAAAGGTGCCAGGTTTGTTCTACACGCTGGGGATACAACAGTTAACAAAACAGTAAAAATTCCACTCGCTCATCGAACTTACATTCTAGTGACGCTGAACCTACTCGTGTATCAGAGTTACAAAACATATAGACTTTTTGTGAATACCATGGAGGATTCCTTTATGGGATGCTGGGATAAAAGTCTAATAGTTTTAAAAGCACATGAGGGCCCTTTTATACTGTACAGGTTCTAGGAATGTTGCTAAATTCTTGTGTAAAATTACAGAATTACGGGCGCCTGGGTGGCTCAGTCAGTTAAGCGTCTACCTTGGACTCAGGTCATGATCTCCGGGTCCTGGGATCGAGTCCTGAGTCCTGCTCAGCAGGGAGTCTGCTTCTCCCTCTCCCTCTGCCACTCCCGCCACCCTGCTTGTGCTCTTGCTCTCTCTCTTTCTAATGAAAAAAAAAAAAAATTCTTTAAAAATTACAGAATTCAATTTAGGAGCAACAAAAAACAGAGTCACTGACTCAGAGAAATCTAGGCAGAACTGTTGAAAAGTAAGGAGCTTGGAATGTTTGGCAGTTCATAAATTAATTTCTTTGGGGAAATATTATGGGACAAAGAGCCAGGCGATATGGGGTAATGTCATTCATCTGTTTGTGGATGTTTTTTCAGCTGTGTGGCTAATATCTATTTGACTCTATTTATTGAGCAATGTTTAATATTAAGGTGCATCAAGGGTGGTAGGAAGAATTTGTTTCTTTTATGATTTTTGTCAAAACAAACAAAATGTAACTCCACTAACACTATATTCACCTCTCCTAAGACATGAAGCGGGGAATCACTGTCTAAAGAGAAAAACTGAAGAGTTGTACATTTTGTTCACTATCCTATCCCCATTATCTAGAATAGTAATTGGCACATGGTAGGGGCTCACTAAGTCTTAGCTGAATGAATGAATGAATGGATGAATGAATGAATTTGGACAGAATGTGACCTCTTGTGAACAGATTTGGGAGGCTGCTCCAGGAATCAATTAAAGTTGTGTGTACTATCTTAGGAGCCTAGAGTAACAAAGGATTTAATTTCCAAGAATAGTCAGGGGTTATAAATTGGTGGTCTGTATTCCATGCTTGGACATATGTTGTTTGGCTTACCAGGTACTCTCTTTTGTCTTATAACAAATTCTTTGCCAACACACACATACACACACACACACACTCAGAAGATTTCGCAAAAAAATGTTGGATTTCTAACATATTTTACAAGTAAAATACGTTGAAATGTGAGTTAAAATAAATAAATCTATTCTGGTTTTGGTTGTGTTGTTGTTTGGGCCATGGATCACTTCTTGCGTGATACCTGTTAAGTTGTAAGGGAGGTCCAGGAAGCCAGAGTGGACTGCAGTGGGCCCTCTGAAGGGTCTTTCATAGAAACAATGTCAAGACCTATGGGGCTTGTTAGGCAGGTTTCAAAATTTTTATTCCACCAGTGTTTATTGAAGGACAGCTACAGCTAGGTGACAGGCGCCATGCATCACTAGAGAGACACTGATCATGATCAAGGAAATTGGAAAAGTGAAAACAGACAGATGAGAAGTGTTGTGAGAATAAATATTAAGGGGATAAGGATCCTGGGGGGGTGGGGAGAATTTGGAGACATGGAGAAATTGGCAAGGATTGACAATGAAGATAGAAAACCCAACAAAGATGAAGCATCCCTGGGGTCTATTTACTTGGTGGTTATCTCTATAAGGACTATATAAAGATAAATCAGGAGAAAAGTGATGGTATCACTTCTTCCTCTCTACCTCCTCCCTCTCCAGCCTGTCTCATGGTTCAAAAGTTCTTAACTAGATTACTGGTCAGCACAGTGACAAAAGTCATTTTAGAGTCTGAAGGCAGAGATGTTTGGCATCATCAGATCGTGAGACCAGGTTAAATAAAGTATTATAGACTTAGCCTGGATCCAAATTCTGTTCCTTCATTTATTGGGTATGTGGTGGTTTCTGAGTGTTATTTAAACCCTTGGAACCTCGGTTTTCTTGTCTGGAAAATGGGGATGATGAGAGTGCCCATCTAATCATAGTATGAAATGCAAAGTGCCTGACATGGCATATAAAAAATGCTTTCCCTAATTGAGCCCTCTATTTTACTTGGTGTTACTATGGAAATTCAGAGAAAGGAAAAAGAAGGAGGTGGGGAGGAAGCCCCCATGGTAGTTGAATACTAACATATAAATGCAGGTTCATGGGAAATTTAAAATTATATGAACTTCCTCTTTTTTGGTAAAAATATATCATTTTACTATTTATGACCTCCGGCCATATGTTACAAGTGTAGGTTAAACATTTCTCTACCCTTCTCTTTGTTAAAAAATTTTATTTTATTTTATTTCAATTCAATTAATTAACATATTAACTTTCGGACTCCATCTTATATTAACTCTCTGATCTGTCTCTTGGGGAAAGACAAACCGAGCACTTGGGTTTTTATGCAGAGACGTGTAACCTCTAGACTTTCTTCTCTGGACAGACCCTAAAGCCATGCTCAAGTAGGCAGTTGATAGGGAGGAATCCAGTTGCACTTGACATCCTCACAGAACGACAGATGACATGACTTGCTATAGATGCCAGATGCTCATGTGTACAATCAGGTGATCTGTCCTTTCCCTATGAGAGTAGCCTGAAGTTAAGCCGAAGTTTGATGAGACAAATGCCAGTTAGGCTCATAGTCTCATTAGGTGAAGGTAAGAATTCAGACTAACATCAACTTGTTGACCTTGTGAACAGAAACTTTGCACTTGGTCACAATTATGTGATATTTTCACCCACCATCTTGTTTGTTTCTTAAATGAGATTATCCCCATTTCACAGATAAGACCACTGAGGCTCAGAGAAGTGAGAAAGTGGCCAGGCTGAGAATTGAACCCCCAAACATGAGCTTTTCCCACAACAATGGTAAGCTGATACAGAAGCCTTTCCTGGTTATGTGCCCCTCAGCCTACTGGGAGCATGATGAGGCCAGTGAGGCCATTCCTGTCCTCACCTCCCATCATGGGTGGCTCCTTACCTTCTCCATTTGAGTCCAGTAGTCTAGGACATCACTTGCAAAGTTAAATTCCTCGGGTACACTGTAGTCATTCCATCTCGGGGCTCCAACCCCTGATAAAGGCTGGCAGCGAAGGTACCCAGGGGCAGGGTGAAAGCCACGGTAGGGTTTGCAGATGCCCCAGAGGACCCAGAAATTCATCAGCCACTCCACGGTGGGCAGTCCTCAGGAAGCCGGCACAGAATTTTCACGTCACTACCTGCCTTGGGAAGAGATGACTGGTCATGGAACGGTAATTTCCTCCACAAAAGGAAGCCAATAGCTTTGTTAGAGTAATAGCTTTGTTTCAGCTCACCAGAATTTGAAAGGCACAAGGCCCGTCCGCATCTCTACCCCCTCTCTTGTTAATATCCTGTCCTGGGTTCTGTGAGCTAACAATCTTTCCCGCCTGAAATTGGGTTTCTGTCCCTTGAGACTATCAGGATACTGACAAATATACATCACCATACTCAGGACAGACCAGACTGATATCACAACACCTTCCCTAGGGGGTCTTTCCCAGGACAACATTCCAGGCAGCTATTTCCAACCCATCAGAGCTGACCCATGAAATGAAACTTGTTTGCCACTCCAGATCCCAACAAAGACCCCTTTTACATGGGAGAAGAAACTTCATTTATTATTATTGAAGTCTGATTGTGAAAATTGGCTTAAGCTAGAAGGATCTTTCCATGAGAATGTTGACTGAAGAAAACCACTCCACAAACGGCTTTGAGATCCAATCACTTTACCACCAAAACCAATAAAGCCTCCTCCCCCTTGGTTGCAGCCATCACATAATACTGCTTGACAACAGACCACAGAATAGATCAATAAAACCTGACTCAGTTTATTTTCAGCCAGTGTAGACCAATAATAACCTAACCCCAATTTTGATGCTGCCCCCAGAACCCTACTTCACATTCCTAGAAGGGGAAGGGACTGCTAAATATGCAATTGAGTTACTGTCTGCAGAAAAGAGGATGGATATATGAAAAGTTCATCCCTTAGAGTCTGCTTGTCAGCACAGAACCTTGGGCCACATGACTTAAAGTAATGTCTCCTTTTTAGTGCCTATCAATCAACTGTACCATCTCGTGTTTCACCAGAGCATTTTTGAGCAAGAAAGAGACACTAAGATCTCAGCTGGCCCAGATCTGGCCCTCAGACATATTCCTGTTGGCTCTCGGTCTTTGGAGGAAAAATTTAAATTGTCAACATTTAAACCTTGGGAAATTTCATTTAAAAGTCTTGATGGTCTCTCCTGCAAATGCAGAAAGTCTGGCAATACTGGGCCTTTATTTCAAACTGGCACAAATGGCTGGAGCTGAGAATTGTATGCTTCATTGAAAAGGAATGTTCTCCAATTTCACATGGTTACCCACCACTCCTTATTTTGTCACGCCTACTAGTTTCTCCACTTACTGTACCTGTCAAGCCTCTGGGTATTTGAGCTTAAAATATTTGATTTAGACCAACATTCCGAAAGGGGATTTCTCTAAGGTTTCAAGGCAAGTTTAGTCATAGAGCTGGTTCTAAAAGTCTGCCTTCCCTGTTCTTTTGTCTAACACATACCTCCCTCCACAAGCATGAACTGATTCAGAGCAGGAATACAAGACTCACTTGCTATTGTAAGGCACAGGTAAATAAATGACCTCAGGATCTTCTTTAAAAGACCAAGGTCAGTGCAAACAACCCCTGAATAAGCGGCTAACGACAAAAACCAAAGGGAGAGAAATAATGATGAAATTAATTAGTCCTTTATTATGGGTTAATTTGCATCCCCTCAAAATCCATCTGTTGAAGTCCTAACCCCCAGTACTTCAGAATGTGACTGTATTTGGAGATAGAATCTTTGCAGAGGTGATTAAGATAAAATGAAGTCATTAGATGGACCCTAATCCAATATGACCCGTGTCCTTATGAGAAGAAGAGATTAGGGCACAGACACATAGGGGGGAAATGACATGTGAACATGAAAATAGCTATCCACAAGCCAAGGAGTGAAGCCTCAGGAGAAACCAGCCCTGCAGATAGCTTGATCTCAGGCTTCTGGCCTTCAGGACTATGAGAAAATAAATTTCTGTTCTTTGAGCCCCCACCCCAGTCTGTGCTACTTTGTTATGGCAGCCCTAGCAAACTAATAACACCTCTTTTAACCAAATAAAACAACTTTGGTATCATCTTATCAATGTGTTTGCAATTCTAACTTCATCTTCACCACATATGAGGACCAAATACAGTGCCCAGCTGAGGACTGTGGTAGCCAGAGTGTGCCTTTAACAGTGAAACATCATAGCTTCAAATTCCAGCCCCTTCCCCCACCACCTATGTAAATGGACAATTTTCTTAACCTCTGTCTAAAACATGGAAATACCGGCAGCCCCTATTTCCTAAAGTTGTGGTGATGAATGAATGACATCCCTCATAAAGCATTTAGGCACAGACTCAGTACAGATGAGTGTTCCAGAAATGGGAGCTATTATTAGTTACCGCTCCCTCTGGGGAAACTCTCGCTTGCTTAATCTTTGGAATTCGAGTGTAAAGAGAAGGAACAGGAAAAAATTAAAGAACAATCTTTCGAATTGCCTTATTTGTTTAAAAGATTATTTATTTATTTCAGAGAGAGAGAATGTGAGTGGGGGGAGGGGCAGGGGGAGAAGGAGAGAAATCCTCAAGCAGATTCCCTGATAAGCATGCTTCATCCCAGGACCCTGAGATCATGATCTGAGCTGAAATCAAGAGTCGGACACCCAGGGCGCCTGGGTGGCTCAGTTGGTTAAGCGACTGCCTTCGGCTCAGGTCATGATCTCAAGGTCCTGGGATCGAGCCCTGCATCAGGATCCCAGCTCAGCGGGAAGCCTGCTTCTCCCTCTCCCACTCCCCCTGCTTGTGTTCCCTCTCTCGCTGTCTCTTTCACATCAAATAAATAAATAAAATCTTTAAAAAAAAAAAAAAAAAGAGTCGGACACCCAACCCTGACTGAGCCACCCAGGCGCCCCTAGAGTGCTTTAAAGTGCATTCTGAGGTCATTTGGCATTGTGCCTTTGAGAGGTGGCTAGGCTCAGCATTATTTGCCCAGGTACACAGTGCCTTGAAGAGTTCCTGCAACAGAGCTCTAATTTCACAAGTCTTTGGACTGAAAAAGCTAAGTATTTCATGAGGCAACATACTTAGTGTGGTAAAGGGGATCCTGGAGTTACATAGCCAGGTTTGGTTCTGCAGCCTACAGTCTGAGTGATCTTGGCCACTGTTTATGTCTCTGAACCTGAAGACACACTAGTAAATCTACCACCTGACTTCCCTCAGGATTAGTGAGTTAATCTGTATAAATTACATTGCCAGCTAGTGTGTCTAATATACAATAAGGACTCAATAAATATTGAAATGCTCTCTAACTCCCGGCAAATTCTGAAGCCAAACCCCCCGAGTTAGATACTTAAAAAAAAATTTTTTTTTTTAAATTAAAGGCATTCACTTTATATAATATGAACCAACTTCTGCAGAGTGGAATTTTGTTTCAAGTGTTCATTTTCTGGGTCTTCCTACTCTCCTCTGTACCCTCCTGCATAGTCCACCACACTCAGAGCCGCCTAACATTAACCAGATCACCCTCTATATGCCAGCCACTGTGCTAGGCATATCACACAGATATTCTCATTCATCCTTCTCATTCAATATTGCCAACCTCATTTTGCATTAAGGAAACAAAGTGTCAAAGAAGTTAAGAGCCTTGCCCAAAGTCAACCAACCGATAAGCAACATTGTCAGAACCTGACATTAGGCCTTTGGATTTTTATTTTTTTTAAGATTTTTATTTGTTTATTTAACAGAGATAGAGAGAGAGCACAAGTAGGCAGAGCAGCAGACAGAGGGAGAGGGAGAAGCAGGCTCTCCGCCGAGCAGGGAGCCCGATGCGGGGCTCGATCCCAGGACCCTGGGATCATGACCTGAGCTGAAGGCAGCCGCTTAACTGACTGAGCCACTCAGGCGCCCCAGGCCTTTGGATTTTAAATTCAGGGCTCTGTAAATATTTTACTGCCCTGTGATAGACACACACACACACACACACACACACACACACACAAACACCTCACAAAGAAGCTTTCATTTACCTGCCTTACCTGGCAGTGTCTAGAAAACAGCTGGGCTTTGTCTTGGACTGATACAGAAATGGGGACTTTACATATTCACTTCTCTCTGATCAGTAAAGTTCCCAGGAGTGCACACACAAAAAGGACTGCCCATCTCTGGGGCAGAGAACTTGGCAGGAATCCGACGATTCAGAAGTGGGAGGAGATGCTCAGAACAGGACGGAAAACAATCCCAGCCCTCCACTGAAGAGACAATGGGTTGGAAAAATAAACTATATGAAGTCATTCCAGTTCTTGTGGGACAGCTTGCGGTGTGAAGGAACAAAGTCAAATGGAGAATTCTCACTAACTCTGGGGCTAACCTGTTCTCTTTCCCAGCCCCATACCTCCAGTGCTCACATTTAAATGACAGCCAAGTGGCAATGTTGTCTAGTAGTTAACACCTGCGCTCTGGAAGCAGAAAGATGTGAGTTTAAGTAACCAGTCTGCCACCTACCATCTCTTTGACTTTCATTGACCTCCTTTCTCTACCCTCGTTTCCTTATATGTAAAATGGGAAAGATAATAGTGACAACTTATGGTTGTCTCTTATGGTTGTCTTGTTGTTATTGCATTGCTAGGATTAGAGGGAATAATTCATGACGAGCACATAGCACAGTGCTTGGCCTAATCAATATTGGCTGTTTTTATTAATTGGGGATTTGGAGAGAAACAGTTCGGTGTACTAACAAAATGCAAGGTCTTTGGAATCCCAAGGTCTTCGGCTTAAATCCTGGCTCAACCATTTACAAAATGGCCGATGGACAAGCCATTGGCCTTTTCTAACAAAACAGAGGAGTGTGGTTGTTAATAAGATTTGTTCCTTTGGATCCTTGAAAGAACAGCACCAGGTCAGGTCTGCACAATGTTTGGCTCAGACATGTAGATGCTGGGTTGATGTTGATGTTGCATTAATAAGCCTGGATTGCTCCATGAAGTGGCTTATATTGTAGTCTACTAGAGCCATTTTGGGGGTGTTGCTGGGGGATGGGGATCTCCAGGACCCTGGCCCAACTATCACAGGAACTTTTCCCTCCCACCCTCTAATGAAGCAGGGACGAAAGTACCACAATGTATTAAGGAGGGCACGTATTGCATGGAGCACTGGGTGTTATATGCAAACAATGAATCATGGAACACTACCTCAAAAACTGATGACTAACATAACATAATGGTGACTAACATAACATAATAAAGAAAAAGATTGCTGGAGACACCTAGAACATCCCTGCTGGATTTGAGAGCAAGCCTGGCTTCCGAGAGGTGGGTTGTCCTTCTCCTGGCCAATTCATTCAAGATCAATTTTCAGCTCAAGACAGACTTTTTAAGGAGAGGAGTGAGTGAGAAAGCAGTGCTAAGTTGACTGGCCACAGAAAGTAAAGATTAAACAGCCAAAGTATCAAAGACCCTGATACTCAAGCAGAAGAGGCAGTCACTTTTAGGAAGAAAATGGGGACAGGAAGAAAAGTCTACAAGACACTTTGGATCTCAGTGGATCTCCCATGTGGAACTGTAACTCTGGTGTTGTGGGCATAGAAGACCGGCTCTGGGCCAGGCAGCCTGGCTCAGTCTAGCTTTCACCAGTTACCAGCTCTGTGACATTGAGCAGTTTTCTTATCCTCTTGTGCCTTGGTCTGCCCATCTGTAACAATGGGTCTATGGTAGAGATAGTGGAATTCTCTGAAGCTTCCATTCACACTTCTCTTTTCATTTCAAAGCCTCTTTGGTAGTCAGAATGAGGCCACTGAATTCCAGGTCTGGATAATGAACACTAGGCAGACACGAGTCACATCTGGTCTAGGGCATTTAAGAGCAGTTATGAGGTCTCTATACTCTCTTCCCCTGACTCAGGAGTCCTGGAAACCCTGTATGGAGATAGTAACATCAAAATATGGCAAAGACACTATCAGCCTCATTCTCTGTTGTATTGTATGGATGGAGGTTTCTGTGATTTGTCCTGACCGACCACCTGGAACTGCATGCACACATGAAGGCTAAAGAATGTTGTTTTGTGAGACTCCCGTGCTGCGTAAGTGACCTTGGGAGCCTAGTTAGTTATTAGACGGCATCCAGGTCAGAACTGGCCCTTCTGGTCTGGACTGTAAGAGCTATATTTTGCCTTGCATCTCTTCTGGCTCCAGGCTGGGCTGCCCCCTCCCAGGAATGGAATCTAGAGGGAAGGGGAGGTAAACACACCTAGCCCAGGCTCCTTGAATATGTAAAGACATGATAACATAGGAATTCAGCTCACTCCAAACTGCACAGAGGCAGACAAATGTTTCCCTTCAGAACCCGTCATTTGCCCTATAAATATGGCCCTTATGGAGATGGTCAGCTGGAAGTTTTAGCTGAGGGGAGGACGCTCAACCCAGGCCTCTCAATCGGGACTCCAGCCTGTTTCCATCAGGCTTCCCCAGCTAATGAGGTTGGATGTTTTAAGTACCCAATTTGATGTAAC